AGGCATTATCTGCCACCAAAGTCCTGTTACCCTGTCAGTTTGGAGTGTCTCGGACGTTCTTTGTTTTAGTATCAGTGGTCCTTTACAGTCATTTAGTGAAACTAGCCAGTGGTGATTTCAGTGATGTCACAACCGTTCCCTAATTATTATTATTAGTTATTTATTTATTATTTAGACTCATTTAGAGGCTGCATTGCTACCCCAACAACTCCAGCTATGTGAATATATGAGTAGAAACCAAGCCCCCACAATGCGGGACAGAAATTGAGGCCAACGCGGAAGTGAAATAAATTGCAGTTCCACCCTCATCCGCTGGGGGCTGTTGTCAGAAGTGAGCAAATCCTCATTGACTCCCATGTTAAAAATACCAATTTCACAGCAGAAATAAACATGTTTACAGCCTGGTTCCAAAACATATTTTAGGTTTAATAGATCTAGTTTACACTCATGACAACTCTGAGCGGGGTGAATTTTTTCCTCACTCTTCTGTTTAAGTGTATTAAAAGCCTAAAATTCTGTATAATTAATGAGCATCCGACCCACGTGACCACAGAGCTAGCTCCGTGGAAAGGCCTCAGTAGAGCCTCGGTCTTTCCACAGAGCTAGCTCCGTGGAAAGGCCTCAGTAGAGCCTCGGTCTGGCCTGGAAACTGTTCCGTTATTTTCAGTTTCTCAACTTAGACCATTAGTTGTAGCGTTTGTGTGTCCTTTTTGGATATTATTTGTGCAATTGTTGGACAAAATGACTTGCTGTGGCATTAATTGCACTAATAGAGCGTCCAAGGAGTCTCCACTTCATTTTTTTCGGTAAGCAAAATTATATTTATGTATTTTAGGTCACTGCCGAGTTTAACCATGAAATTTAAATGTAATAGGGTAAAACCCAGTGCATTTAACATAATGCTGCACTTTAGAAAATGGGTTGAAATATAACATGTTGGTGGAGCTGGGTTCCGACTATCGGCTTGTGGAGCTCTCGGGAGACCTCTGTTTTCCACCCGGTTCTCCCCTCCCCGTAGCCCGGCGCATCTCTGTCTGATCGTGGCTCCTGTCTGCTGCGCGGGCTGCCGGCATGTGGAGTTCTGGAATGGAAACCTTTCCACCCGGTTCTCCCCAGCGGCAGCTCTGCACATCTCAGATCGCAGCGGCGCTTGTCTGCTGTGCGGCTGCCGGCTTGTGGAGCTCTCGGAGACCTCTGTGTCCCACCCGGTTTTACCCAGCGGTCAGCCCGGCGTATCTCTGACTCAGAAGCTCTGGTGTTGTGCACAGTTAACTCCGGTTGTAGCTAGGTTGCTACCTCTGTTAGCTTAGCTCCCACCTCCGCGTTAGCTTTGGGTTAGCTTCAGGTTAGCTTGTAGCTAGTTCGACCGGGTGTCATCAGTTGATCCCAGCCTTACAGCCCCACCCTCAGCTCCACCTCTCTTCCCTTTTGTGGAATTGTCTGGGCTTGACGGAACCTGTGACATGGTCAAAATGGCGGTGGTGGCCACCTCCCATTTGTCTTCAAAAATGTGTTATTGGAGCCTATGGAAACCCATTGTCCATAAATGTATATGTCGATGGTAGAAACACAAAATCAGATGTACTCCTATTCACCAGTTTTCTAGCAGCTGTATCACATTACTTTTATCCATTTGAATCAAGGGGGCGGGGAGAAGGCTGATACACACACACACGCAAAACAACAAAAACAACAACAACACAGACATACCAATCAAAGCAAAATGTTGCAATTAAATAACCTAATTTATCCTCTCATTTACCACGTATTTGTAGTAGCTTATTATAGCCAGAAATAACTAGCCAGAAATAACTAGCCTGCACTTCTGGTCAGAACCCGGAAATTAGCATTTTTTCATGCACAGGGTCAATTGCATCTAAATGTTACAGATATATTCACCCTCCTTGAGAGTTGTCATGACCAAAAACTATTATTACTATTGAACCTAAAGGCGGTAAACGTGTTTATTTCAATAGGAACTTGCTCCTGTCGGATGCCAGCCCCTAGTGGATGAGGGAGGAACAGCAGCTGCTGACTTCACTTTTGGCAGGTAGTGTTTGACCCTTGGTTCCAGCAGTGATGGTGTGTTGTAAGAGACCCTGCCTCTGCAGTTCAACCACCTGACCACATTCAGAAAGGGAATGTTCTTTTGCATTTGCCATCAGAACGTCGTGCCAGAAAATGACAATGAATCAACATCTTTGCACAGATTTGGCCTTTTAAAGGCGTGTGGTCTTACACTTTTGATTAGCTGTAAAACTGCTTGTTTTGGCCTTGTTTTCATTAAATTGCTGCCCAGAAAATGTCACTCCCACTTCTCCTTGTTGCATGTTGAAGCTCTGCTTGGAACCTTGTTCAGACCCAACCATGCAAAAGAGGATGAGGCTGTATTTGCAGTATTGAAGGGTGTGGACATGGCCAAGTCATAAGCATTTTTGAGCCTTGAAAACTAAAATTGTATTCTGCTTTGAGTTATTTTATGGGATGTAATTTATTGTAAAAGCCTGTGTCAGCCAGCATGATTGGCACCTGTCACATCTGCGTTTTTATCCCTTTGCCTTTCACACCAGATGTTTGAAATTTTATTGTGAATTAACTTAAAAGAAACAGGAAATGATTTTTACAGAAGTAACTTGTTTTTTTTTTTTTCATTAGTTGACTTGTTGTTTCATCTCTGCACTTTGTTTGTCCGTTTGGGGCATGTGAAAGCGCTTAATAAAGTTGATTTGATTTTATCTCAGTGCGCAAGTTGAAGGTGGTTAGCCCATCTATTCATCCAAACACACCCACATCACCCCGCTTCTCCTCCAGCTTCACTGGCTGCCAGTCAACTCCAGGGTTCATTTCAAGATCCTGGTTCTGGTCTATAGGGCCTTACATGGACAAGCACCATCTTACATTGGTGATCTTCTTAGTCCCTACACCCCCAGCAGGTCCCTGAGGTCCAGTGATCAAAGCCTACTGGTTGTGCAGCACCAGGCTAAAGACCAAAGGTGACAGATCATTTGCTGCTGTGGCCCCCAGACTCTGGACCTCTCTCCCCCTGAGCCTGAGATCATTGGACTCAGTGGTCTCCTTTAAAAAGCTGCTCTTGAGTGGTTCAGGTCCTATTTGGCAGGGCGAACATTTTGTGTCAGTCTCGGTGACTATGTGTCGTCTTCTGCTCCTCTCTTGTGTGGTGTCCCGCAGGGCTCGGTTCTTGGACCTCGCCTCTTCTCTTTGTATCTTCTTCCTCTCGGGTCTATACTGAGTAAGCATGGCATTGCTTTCCACTTGTATGCTGACGACTGTCAGATCTATGATCCTCTTCAGAAAAAAGGCGGATACCACATACAGCCATTACTTCAGTGTCTTGATGACATAAAGGCTTGGATGTCTATTAACTTTTTAAAATTTAATGATAAAAAGACTGAGGTGATGATTTTTGGTAGTCCTACTGAGACCCCCAATGTGTATGTTGATTCCCTGGCCCAGTTTGTTAAGCCAACTGTCACAAACCTGGGGGTCAAAGTGGACTGTGATCTGATGTTTGAATATCAGATCAGGGCGGTGGTAAAATCTAGCTTCTTTCACCTCAGGCAGCTCGCGAAAATAAAGCCAATTCTTTCACGGCAGCACTTCGAGACAGTGATCCACGCCTTTGTTACCACTCGGCTGGATTACTGTAACGCACTCTATATTGGGGTCAGTGCATCTCATATTAGTCATCTACAGAGGGTGCAAAATGCCGCAGCCCGTCTTTTAACTGGCACTCCAAAGTTTGAGCACATTTCCCATGTTTTAGCTTCACTTCACTGGCTGCCCATTTCTTTTAGGATTCATTTTAAAATTCTTTTTTTTTTTGCTTTTAAATGTCTCCATGGCCTTGCACCTTCTTATCTCTCTGTCCTGTTACAGCCTTACACACCCTCTCGCTCTGTCAGGTCAGCTGATCAGTTGCTCCTGAATGTACCCAGAACTGGGCGTAAACTTAGAGGAGATCGCGCCTTTGCTGTAGCAGCTCCTAAACTGTGGATTGAGCTTCCTTTAGAGATAAGACAGGCCAGTTCCTTACCTGTTTTTAAGTCACTCTTGAAAACACACCTCTTTACCCTTGCTTTTGACACCATGTGAGATGTCGGTTACTATTTTTTTTTAGTTTTGACTTATTTTAGCTGTTTTTGTGTGTTTCAATGCTGTTTTTATCTAGTTTTTATTCTTAATATTGGGCTGTTTTAATTTTATGTCTCCTGTGTTTTATTTATTTCTCTTTGCTGCTTTCTGTTTATTCTATTGTTTTAATGTATTTTCTGTACAGCACTTTGTTCCTGTGCTGGGTGTTTTAAAGTGCTTTATGAATAAATGAACTGAACTGAACTGAACTGAAGACTCACTTGTTCAAGCTGGCTTTTGTATGACCTTCTTCACCACTCTCTCTTTATTCAGCTCTCCCCATCTATTCCACCTTCCTCAGGATCCACTGATTTCCCTCTTTCCTGTTCACGCTCTCTCTCTTTCTTAACATTTTTTTCATCCCAATTGTCTATTTTTGCTCATTTTAAATATATATTTTAAACATTTTCTAAATGCTTTTTTATGGTTTTAGATGTTTTGTTTTTGTGAAGCGCCTCGTGATTTTTATCTTGAGAGGCGCTATAGAAATGATATTTTCTTCTTCTTCTTCTATTCTGCTGTGGTTTAGTTGAATTTAATTGTGAGTAAATCATTTGAATTTAGTCCTTACAGATGTAAACCCTGTTTCTCTAAACTGAGGCTGTTCGAGGAGGTATCACAGGTAAATAATTATTTATAACTTTTACGCAGAAACACTTCAGAGAGGCTAAACTAAAATCGTCCTGTTTTTGGAATACAAAGTCAACCAACGACGCCCGAAGACCGAACCAGCTGATTTGCTCAGTCCTGGGAGATTTTCCATCCACAAAGCCATCCGTCGGCCCTGGCTCCAACCTTCTCGTAGGTTTGCCGAAAAGAAAAGTCGGAAAGCAAACTCAAACACTCACATGCTGTCAGGAGGACGGAGACCCCGCTCCAAAGCGTCCAGCTCCGAGTCATCATCTCCGGGACGAAGTCATGGGCTTGGGTCGGTCGATGTGCCGTCGTGTCGCTGTTGACTCAGCCCGGTGAGAGCGGAGAGGCTGTTGCGTGAGCGCAGAGAAGGAGCTCCAGATGTTTCTCATCCAGATGTGGTTTGGCCCCGCCCCCTGCTTCTGTCTCTGCACATGTGTGACACGCAGGAGCTGGAGGAGCTCCCATCTTCAGCCTGGAGGCTGGAGACTCGCTTCTGACCAAAGTGTACAGTTACAGGTTTTCTACACAAGTTTCACTTTCTGAACTGAGGGACAAAAAATAAAAAGAGATTCAGATTTTTTAGATTTAGCTGTAGCCTATAAACTAGATTATGGTTCCCAAACTGCGGCCTGTGACCCCCATAGGGGGTCCCTAAAAGGTTGCGGGGGTCCCCACATTTTTGTGTGTGCTGAGGTTTACTCACCACTTAGCTGTCCTTAGATGTGCCAGTTATAATGTAGCAGCAGAACTTTGCAATGTGTGTGTGTGTGTGTGTGTGTGTGTGTGTGTGTGTGTGTGTGTGTGTGTGTGTGTGTGTGTGTGTGTGTGTGTGTGTGTTAGGAGGTAACAGATTCTGATGATGCTTCCCATTGTTCTTTACATTTATCTACATTTACTGTAACTTACTCAATGATAGTTTTGACATATTTATTCATCTTTATAATCGTGCTTCTAACTTCTGTTTGATGAGCTACAGTTAGAGTTTTCTGTCAAATTAAATGATTTGAGCTGTAGGTCAGTTGTTGAGTGCGTGTTTGAACAAATCACACTACATTAATACGCCAGTTAGCGCATTTACAGTTTTAATTGTTTATTTGGCACCAAAGAGAAACAACCGTGTACTGAAGCATAGAGGACAAGACGTAGTACAACTCCAGCAGGACTTAAACACTTATAAAAACAACTTATGAATGAAAATAGGCAGACCGTTTCTGTAGATGTAAATATGTCTGATTTTCCACTGAAACACACAATAACAAACAGGATATAGCATGGGTAAACTGGTAAATTAGTTAAATAATTTAAAAATACAAATGTGTAGCAATGGAGTACTTCAAAAGGTTTTCAACATAATTTAAGATTATAGCTTGCTTTGTTAACAGCAAGGATGTTAATAGTCATTTCCTTTTGGCAACACTGCCCCCAAGGGGTGGCCCTTGGCCAAAACAGCTCCCCCCCAGAAAAGCCAGTGTTAATAAATCATATATGTTCAGTCAAACTATATAATGATCTTGTTTAATCAAGACAGAATTGTAAAACAAAATAAAAATAATACAATTAATGAGTGAAGAAATATGTTTCTGCTGCTCACCATTTAAAAAACGTTTTTATCTCCATAGCTTTCTGTGAACAAAGCAACAGGTGAATTAACCTGAAAAAATACCTTTATAAATTAAATTTGAAATAACATTTTAAATAACTAAAATATTTTTTTCTGATATGTTTGGGTTTATAAAATGTAAGTTAAATGTTTTGGATACGTACTGTTTTTTTTTTTTTGGTTTGTTTTTTGATTTTTTCGATAAAAATGAATAAAGGAGCAATGCAATACATCGCCACAGGCTAAACTCTCTCCGAGTTACCACATGGACCAATTTGGTGTGCCACCCCAAAAATTTCTTTGGACCCATCTGGCCACCCCTATCAAAAATTTCTGGAGGCGCCCCTGCCTTTTGGGTCATTATTGCAGAAAATGGTATTGTGTGTGATTTGTTCATTTTTGTAAGTCATGTTTTTAGGTTTTTTTTTTCTGCACACACTGAAATACAATTAGTTTAATTCAGTAAACAGATGAATAGATTACGCTCCACCTTCGATTTGTGGCTGAGAAAATCCAATCCATCAAATTCACCATCGAGGAGCTTCTCTAGCTGATTCAGCTGATTCCGGTTGCCTTTTTAGGAAGTTATGCACGTGACTTTGTCTCACGTGACTCCTCCTTCACTCAGCAGCAAAACTCAGCGTGGCTTTTATCAGTATCTGTGTTTCTGTAAGTAGAAAAAAACGATCATATCTATTAAAGGCAACGGGCATCGAACTGGTCACGTGTCTGGGTACTGATATGGGTCGTGTGGTTGGACTCTAAGCCGGAATTTCCTCTGAACTTTGAGGTAAAGAGACGCTAATGCGGTCCTGTGGACTCGCGACCAGAATTTAGCTGCACACTTACAGTGTGTACTACGGTAAACACTGGCAAAAGGACAGAAACAGCACGAGCGCTTCTATTTTGTAATTTATGACTTAATACGATGAAAATATCAGTTTTCAAGACGTTAAATGTTACAAAATAGCACCAAATAAACAAATCTACATTCACACAAGCCTGATGGTGGGACCAGTGGTTAAAATGCTGCCTTTTTCTAGCTCCTACATTTAAAAAGTTGAAACGTTTTGATTTTCTTTCCGTTTTCTATTAAAATGATCGTGCAGCACAAACTGGTAATGTGTGATGGTGCAATTACACAGCAGTTCCCTGCAAGGCAAATTTACGAATGCATCAGCCACACCTGCCAGTTGCTGGATTGTTATGACATCTAATTAAGTTAACAATGTATGCGAGTCAGCTCCTTGATGGTGAATTTAAGGGTCCTAAATCATGCAAACAAACAACCAACCAAACAAACAAACAAACACATTTTGGAGCTTTGACCATGTTTAATTGTAATCTCATCAAAACACAGTAATAACAGTTTTTGGCTTCATGCAACCATCCACAGAGTCAGTATTACAACAACAATGCTAGCTGCTAGCCAAGGGCTTATTTCCAGGAATAGGTCATGAAAAGTACTATCTTAGCTTCCAGTAGGTGTAAAATAGCATGATACAGGCAAGAGCACCCCCAAAGGGTGGCCATGGCCACCCCATCACAATTTTCTGGAGGCGCCCCTGGATACAGGTCCTTTAAATGTAGGACTATATCGACTATATGAACTGCTTCATGCTCACTAGGGTCACAGAAGCCCGGTGTCTACCTCCAGTAGCGCTGCCAAAATTAGATGATTTGTCACGATTACATCGACTGCCAAAATTGTTGAAGATCAAAGCAAATTTTTTGAATCTTTGGTTTGTATAACTCTAATCATCAGGTGCATAAAACAGCTGGATGTGTTGATATTAATGACCGCATGACACCCAGCTCACCAACTGGAGAGGTGGATGGTTTTGTAGGAAAAGCACCACAGAAGAAGAAAACTGAAAGTTACAGTGGACTGCACCTGTGTTTTTGGAAATCCTCCAACCAGATGTGTAGATAAGGTGACCACAGAAATTTTGTTGTAAAAACAGACTCAGTCATGACTCTGTGACACATTTATTGACATATGAAGACCTTGCCTGTGTAACGTCTCAAAGGTCAAGTATTTCATCAAAATGAACAGAAATTAACTTTTAATTTGCAGACACAACCAGCTCAGTGGCCTAGTGGTAGAGTGTCCGCCCTGAGACTGGGAGATCAGGGTTCGATCCCTGGTCGGGTCATACTAAAGACCTTGAAAAAAATGGGACCCAATGCCTCCCTGCTTGACACTCAGCATTAAGGGGTTGCATTGGTTCCAGAGCGTGGCTGTGTCTGCAGCTCACCGCTCTCCCAGGGGATGGGTCAAATGCGGAGAACAAATTTCGCACACACATCAGTGTGTGTGACAACTGATGGGACTTTAACTTTAACAAACTGCGTCACACATCCAGGGACGCATCACATCTGTCTGGCCTCCAAACAAGAAAAGCAAGGATCTCTTTTATATATTTGCCCTCTTGGGGAGATTATTAAAAGCTTTACTAATGTGTCCTACCAGTTATATGCGGATGACATTCAACTGTACTGCTCTTTCAAGGACACAGAGTTTAACAGTTAGCTGATCTACTTGATTGCATTGAGCGTATTAAGGACTGGCTAGCCAGTAACTGTCTTCAGTTGAACTCAAGCAAGACTGAAACACTGATCATTGCTCCTGAACAGAAAGTGCTTTTAATCAAACAACCCCTTGGTTCCCTGAGCTCCTCAGTCCAGACCAGTCTCAGAAACCTTGGTGTTCTTTTTGACCAGTCCATGTCTTTGAGCTGCCACTGAAAACATTTAGTTAAGAACTGCTTTTATCATTTGTGAAACATTTCCAAATTGAGAGCTTTTACTTCAAAATCGGACTTGGAGATGATTATCCATGCTTTTATTTCCTCTCGTTTAGATTATTGTAATTCTATCTTTACTTGTTTTAACAAATCAGATGTCAGTCGTCTCCACTTGGTCCAGAACGCTGCAGCAAAGCTTTTAACAGGAACCAATAGAAGGGCTCACATAACACCGGTTTTATCTTCATTACATTGGCTACCGGTCGAGTTTAGAATTGATTTAAAAATTTTAGTTTTGACTTTTAGAGCTCTTAATGGACTAACTCCACAATATTTATCAGACCTTTTAATCCCTCACTCTTCTGGCCGCACTCTACGGTCCTCGGGTCAAAACCTACTGAAGGTCCCTAAGACCAGATTTAAAACTAGAGGGGACCTGTCCTTTCAAGCTGCAGCTCCCAGACTTTGGAACGCCCTGCCCTTGTTTCTTCGTGTGGCCGACTCTGTTGATTCTTTTAAAAAGCAGCTGAAGACACTTTTATTTAGACAAGGTTTTATGTAAGTTGACCTTGTGCTCCTGTCCTGTTTTGCCTTTTTATGTATGTTGTGAAGCACTTAGTGATTTTATCTGTGAAACGTGCTATATAAATAAAGTTTTACTTACTTACGACCGTGCAAGCAGTCAAAGAAGCCACAATAGCTTTGCTCAAGGTCTCCTGCAGGAGACGAGACCTCCTCACTGAATAAAGTTCGTCTTCCTTTAAAGGAACTCTACGGCCAATGGAATTTTTATGCTCGCGATTGCCCCCTCAGGCCAAAAGCGTAACGGCAGCTTCAATAGGCTCATGCACGAGACGTGCATGCTGTACGTGCACACTCCTTAACGAAAATAACAAGCTGAGACAGTCCCGTGTGTGTGTGTGTGTGTGTGTGTATGTGGCCCGGAGGACAGAGAACAGGAGAACGCGCAGCTAATTAATTAAATAACTTGGTTCTGTACCTTTCTCTTCAGCACAGCCGACAAAGGTTTATGATGGGTCAGTCCTCCTGCATGCTCAGATCATTCCCTTCCCTTGCTTGAAAAATTATTCCAAAATGAAAGTTGAACCCACATCTTTTTTATCTGTGAATCCAATGCCGTTCGGCGAGTCTAAAAAAAAATTGGGCATCTTACTGTAAAAAATATACCATTAATGTAAAAAAGAAACTCTAAATGAACTATGTTCACACCCAGAATCAAACCCAGGTTTTCTGCACGAGAGTCCGACGTCTTACTAGGTGAGCTAAAGCGCCAGTGATGTCCTTTGTATCTGTAACTTTTATATCCTTGATGACAGTTGAAACAATGTTCAAAGAACGGTTCGGAGCGAAAATGGCTATTTTGTTGCTAATTTGCAGGAAATATCTAGAAGAAAGTTCTACAGAAAGTAGCTAAGGGTCCTCAGATATGTAGCTTTGTCACTAGGCATTAGGAACAGCAACAAAGACTAAATCTACGGATAGCAAATGCTACGGGCTATGCCTGAGCGTGAACGTGCATGAAGCAGCCTGCTCGACCCGAGCAGCTCTGTTTTTCTGTGATTTTACAGAAAAACAGGCAATCACAGTAAAAATGCCAGGGCTCATTCTACAGGACCAGGGCATTGCAGGAGAATGTATGAAGAAGAAATTTATTATTTCTATACATGTTTTGGCTGTCAAACTTCCATAATGCCCCTTTAATCATGAATGACTTTACAACTTTATGGGTAGCTACTTCTGTCTTCTTCCTTTATGCAGTGTCTTAATGCAAGTGAATTGTGACCAGATTGGCTTTCCATATTTATGGTTCTCTAGCGCTGCCGTCAGCGGAATCCCAGCTGGACTGTGACCCAGACTTGTGGACCCGGTGACTGCATTCCCGGCGTTTCCCAGCCGAGTCTGTGAGCTGCTGAGCGGTCAGAGATGAAGAGGAGACTCCTGCTGGTGTCCAACTCCACCCTACATGGTGGAGGCTACCTGGACCACTGTCAGCAGCACATCTGTGACTTCTTTGGAAAGTAGGAGCTCTGGAGACTCGGCACAGGAAGTGGTTTAGATAATAAACCCAAGTGAGTAAAAAGCAGTCTGTTTATTGCAGGGATGTGAAGAGAGTGCTGTTTGTTCCTTATGCTCTCCATGACAGAGATGCCTACACAAAGACAGCCAGGAACAAGTTCAAAACGTTGGGTAAGGTTCTTCTCCACCTTTTGTTTTATGGAGGTCTAGAACATCAGGACCTTTCTGGTTGGCTCGTTTCAGGCTGAGCTGGAATAACCTGCTGCAGCTTCCTGTGGTTCAGTCCAGCTGAAAGACTTTGTCCCCCTGCAGGTTATGAGGTGGACAGCATCCACGAGGCTGCAGATCCCGTGGCTGCCGTTGGGGGGGCCGAAGCCATTTTTATCGGTGATTTCTCTTTCGTGTCTCCCATCTCTCTCCCCACCCCCAGTGGAGACGCTGACTGGTGTTTGTTTGCAGGAGGAGGAAACACCTTCCGGCTCCTTAAGAGTCTTTATGACAATAAAGTGGTGACGGAGATCAGGAGGAGAGTGATGGAGGTGAAACCCGCAGATGGAGCTACCCAGCTAGAGACACATTATAAATGTCCTCTGCTCTGTCCCAGCAGGACGGCATCCCCTACATGGGCTCCAGCGCTGGCACCAACGTGGCCACCATCAGCATCAACACCACCAACGACATGCCTATTGTCTACCCTCCAAGCTTCTCTGCCATTGGCCTCGTCCCGTTCAACATCAACCCACACTACCTGGACCCCGACCCCCACAGCCGCCACATGGGGGTGAGTCATTGTCTCAGACGAAAGAGGCTGCTCCTTATTGGCCACAAATCTCATATTTACAGTAAATAATATAATTGTAGTGAAAAAGTTATAAGAAGGTTTATCATGGGCTGTTTTCCCACTCATTCAAAAACCAGCAGATGGTTTCTGGTTGGGAGCTTTGCAACTCTCAGAGCTGTGACACTGCAAAGCTTAGCAGAACAAGATGCTGCGTCAGCCAATTGCTGGAAACCAGTTTGGGTCTGGTGTTTAGTGGTTTTTATTACATCATTTATGCACGGTGAAACGTCTTGATTCTGGGATTTGAGCTCAAAAGGGTTTGGTTAGCTCGTCCTCTGACTGTCGGTGTTTTACAGGAGACCAGAGAGCAGAGGATCACCCAGTACCACGAAGAACCCGACACCCAGAGTGTGTTGGTGAGTGTGTGAGGGCGAGGACGGCGGGATGCGTCTGCTGTGATCGGATCGTTGTGTGATGATTCCTGTTTTTTTTTGGAGGGTCTGAGGGAGGGCTCCATGCTGCTGGTGGAGGGAAACAAAGCCACGCTGTTGGGATCAACGAAGGCCCGACTCTTCAGCAGGTGTCCAACCCTGGTCTAGACCCACACCATAATGCCTTGTTTGTTTAAACCTCCCACTGTCCTAATGGGTGTGACACTGCAAGGAAAGTTGACCATTGAGCAGGATTGATGGTTTACCCCTTGGGTCCACATGGCAGGGCTGAGGTGGTGCTCACTCCTCACCCCTGCCACATGGACCCAAGGGATAAACCATCAATCCTGCTCAATGGTCAACTTTCCTTGCAGTGTCACACCCATTAGGACAGTGGGAGGGTTAAACTTCCACACTTTTCTGGATGTGACATCTTTTCTCTGCAGAACCTGCTCTAGTGAAGTCGCGGTTAGTGTTTGGCCCAATCCCAATACTCGCACCACGACCAACGGTCTTCTGTGAAGTACACTTGGAGGAGGTGCACAGTAGGGTTCGAGAGTGTAGTGCACAAGTGTGCCAAACTGGGACAGGGAGCATTGCGTCATCGACCGCTCCGCATGCCGGGATGCTGGTCGCCATTTGTGCTACCTTTAAAGAAATTTGTAAAGTTGCAGCGTGTAGTTTCCAGCCACTAGAGGGCAGTATACATACATTTCAGGGTAGTTTTACTCCACATCTTCCTGTCTGTCGCTAGCTTCGCTAGCTTAAAAAAATTACAGTAAATGTTACATGTGGAGCAGAAAGAATGCAACCTTGGCGTGACTCCTCAGACTTTGATGGTTCTTCAGGTAATTCCAGAAGATATTGCAATACCAACTGTTGTTTTCAGCCGCTGTACTTTCTGGATCTGCTTGCGCCTGCTGATGACGTCATCATACTACAGCAATACCGCTCGGCCAAAATATGTCGCATCTTTTTTCAAATCTGGGGTCTCATTTATCAAGCTTGCTTATGCACAAAACGGGGTCGGAAAACTGCGTGAGCAACTTTCCACAAGTCCTACTCACTTTCCACGCAAACTTTGGGATTTATGAAAGAAAACTTAGCGGAAAAATGTGCGCAACTTTAAGTTAACTAAGGACCTGGCTTACGCACATGTTGGACATGGAGAGCACCTGCAGTGCTGCTGCTGAGAAGATACAATTAAGAAATCCTGCAGCATTTTCACTTGTACCGCTTTGTTTTCACACAGAACAAGACCCCCCACACGCACGCACATACACACACACACACACACACACACAGCCTGAAGCACAGAATACGGAATGCAGAATATCAACAGGGGGACAGATTGAGACAGAATGTCATGCGTCTGTGACAGTGTGTGTGTCCTGTCACTGTGACCTGATCATGCGCCCTGGCTACTTGTACAGGGGAGCTCTCCATTTGGCTGGCTGGTTGGTTAGCGCGCATGACTTTCACCTGGGGGTCTGGGGATTGAATCCCGATTGGACCATTTTTTTTATATCCGCCACAGATCTCTCTGAAGAATTCTCAACATTGACAGCTTCAGCAACGCTGTGCCACTCTGTGGATTTTCTCGTTTTGCAAAAGCACTTCCTTTCATTTCTCCACCTCATCCACAAGTACCTCAACTTCTGCTTGTGAAATTGAGCTTCCTTGATCTGCCTTGATCTACTGTCGGCATGTTATTGGTGGAGCGCTGCAACAGTCGGCTTATGTATACGCATGAGTCCACAAGGCACTTTGCATCGACCATTTATGGCAGTAAGTGGGCGTGGTGAGGGCGGGATGTGACTAAAATGCAGCTGAGAAACATTCTCGTTAATCTCTGATTTATGAAGCGGAGATTGCGTGCAGCTGTGCGTACTCCATGTTGTATAGGTCACAAACCTGCTTGGCATAAGTACATTTTTTTTGCTGAGCTTAAGTACGGTTTTAGTAAGGATTCTACGCAATGTTGGATAAGTGAGACCCCTGTTCTTTTATGTATGTTCTGGGAAAAGTTTAGCAGTTTTGTTATTAAATTTGTGTTTCTTACTGCCTAAATGTTTTTAAACAAGGTAATGTTACTTCCAAAAGTTGTACGTTCAGCCAGTGATCTGGTGTGACATCATCGACAGGCGCAGGACCCCAAGCTGGCCAGAAGGAAGCACGGCATCCCCCAAAGAGGCTCCAAACATGCATTAGTATTTTCATAATTTCATTATTATTTCTCCTGGAAGCACTCAGTCAGACCGAGTGCTGTGATGTCGGGAGGTCCGGTCTTGGGGAGGGAGCGGGGTGAGTGACGGCGGCTGCAGCGTGATCATCTGTCTCTTTAATTTAGGGACACGGAGAAGTTAAAAGGAGAAATAGAAGATAGAAGTTCTTGTTCCACTTTATTCTTTTGTTTCATGATGATAAAATGATGTTAAATTCAGCTTCAAGAGAAACTGGGAGGAAGCTTTGGTTCTTTTTAAGTTACAGGAGATCTTGTCTCCTATCTGCTCCTCCAGAGACAGCATGGTGAGGGTCCCACAGGACAAGTTATGGGCCATTCCCATCTGTACCGGGTCGGCCCGGGCCGGGTAGCGTAGGTTGTTTACATATCTGGGTGGCCTGGTATTTTTCCGGGCCAACCAAGGCTCATTCTCAGCCCTCTTCTCGAGGGGGTCCGCTTCACGCCGACCAGGGCCAACACACCCACTGCTGACAGCAAATTCACACCTTCCATTAGAGCAAGCCTCTGATTGGTGGGTAGAATCAGCCCACATGGGCTTAAGACAAGGATGTGTGGAATCAACCGGGCCAGGCTGGGGCGGACTGGGGCTACCCGGCCTGGGCCGACCCGGTACAGATGGGAATGGCCCATTAGTGCAGTCAGCCGAGCTGGAGGGGGATATTGCAAGCTTGTGTGTTATGTGCATTACGGCCAGCAATCCAGACGGCCCCCCCCCCCCCCCCCCCCTTTCAAAAGCTTTTCAGTGATTGGTGGCTTAATGGAGAATTGGGTTGCCCCCACCCCTTACAAAACTATTCATTTGTTGAATCTTGGTGAATTTGTGAGGTCCACATTTTGCCATGACCATTTGTCTCTCCTTCCTCTTTGAGCTGTTGTGTGCAAGGTTAAAGGTGCATACTGCCACCTACTGTTTTAGGGTCTATTACTGTAAAGTTAATTTAAATGGAACTCCGTGGGGTAGCCAATCAGATTCCAGGAGTGACACGTGGTACCCCAGGCCACTCCGCTGGCGTGAGCTGGTTTAGGAGTAAACGTGTAGACAACGTTACTCCAGCAGAACCAGTAACCAGCAGCTCTCTTGTGGGTTACAGGGAGAAGCCCTCCATGGAGTACGATCCAGGCAGCGACCTCAGCTTCCTGCTGACAGACACACACTGAGCTACGAAAGGTCTGAAGGAACATCACCATGGAAACCAGACATTTTTATGTTGCTGGTCCAAACAATAAAAGTTAGCATGAAATGTGTGTCTCTTCGTTTGAGCTCCCACTGATGTTTTATGTTTTCTGCTGCAACCTGTGACAATGCTATCGATACTAAATCAGCTGAGACAAACCTCCACACGTTATAATGTTTAGCAGATGGAAGGTCTCGCAGCTGCTTCCTCTGCGTCGGCCATCTTAATCAAACATAAACAGCACAAGTGTGAACAAATCAGTTTATTTCATTCCAAGAGTGAAATCATCTTCATCAACTGTTAATATTTACTCACCAAGTGAAAGAATACATACATCAAAAATAGTTTCATTTGCTCGTAGCAGGAGGAAAGACGGAGTGCTATTAAATATAAACACAAGCATACTGCTGCAGGACGGGAGTCAACATGATTAAGTTGTTGTTCTGCAGCCAAATCTGCCCAATTTCATTTTACAGTGCAGTAAATTCACCGTGTTGTGACTAAAGACCCCTCAGGATGGTTCCCACCTTCCTCCCAAAGTTTTATTTCTGCAGATTTCAGTTAGTTCAAACAGTTTAATTCTCTAAACGTCTACGTTATGGAGCGGCAGTTCCCACGCTAAAGGGAAAAACAAAATAAGAGGATACATTAGAATGGTGTCCAACTCTAAACCAAAATAAAAACACACCCAAGTTTTACCAAAAGCAACAAGCATCTGTTTCCTGCACCAGTCAGCGTGACAATAAAATACATTTTACTTTTCAGTCTCAAGCGTGAGTGCTGCTGTCAGGCTGTGGTTTCTGCACTAATTCACCTTCATCACCAGTTCACCTGTTAGATTAGTGCATCACTATCCTGGAAATAAGAGTGATGCTCAGAGACAGCAGGCCGTGTGCACCATCATATTCATGTTTTCATAATGCCAGCCCAATATGGGCAAATAGCATTTTTCTCCTTTTAAGTATATTGAAGCGTGCACACACACACACACACACACACACACACACACACACACACACACACACACACACACACACACCCCTACCTTTTACATAAACGTCACCTGTTTTTATTTTGTGTAAAGTTGCCTGTCCCCAATCTGAGAAGTGAAATTTCAAAATAAAAGTAAAAACCAACGGCCTCAGTGCAGCACAGGAAAGTAATAACTAATTATTAATTAAGCCCCACCTCTTAGTAACTGTTGCTTAGGCTGCTCCAGAAGATATTTACAGGACATAGAAAAAGACTAAATTCATGTTTTAGGAGGCATTATGACATATTTTGCTTAAAAAAGTCCAAAAATTCAAAGATATTTTTGTTCTTCAGTTTGAAAAAGGACATCAAACACTTGACCACATAGTTCCTGGTGTTTTTATGTAGCATCACCAGTACAGGTGGAAGATAACGGGATGCTGAAAGTGAGATTCTGGCTTCTCTATCTGGACATGTGCGTGAAGACATGATTATAATGTATGGAACTAGGAATGGAACAATATTACATTTAACTTGTAACATGTTTTGTAGCTGTGACTTTTGTTTTGTAGCGTGTAACTTCCATACAAAACATATAACTTTTATTTAGTAACTTTCAGAAAACAATCAATGTACAACTTTCAAAACACAAATCTCAGTCTACAAGTTCAAAACATTTTGTCCCAATTCTGGCTTCCTTCCAACAGGAATTGTCTTGGACAGGAATCCAAGACTCATGATTGGCTGGTCAGACAAAACCTGTCATTGGTTCTTTGGGAAGGAAGCCAGAATTGGGACAAAATGTTTTGTACTTGTAGACTTGAGTTTTGTAACTGTAGACTGGGATGTGTGTTTTGAAAGTTGTACATTGATTGTTTTCTGCAAGTTGCGAAACAAAAGTTACAGTTACAAAACAAAAGTTACAGCTACAAAACATGTTACAGGTTACAAAGCTTGGTACAAGTTACATGAAATATTGTCCCAGTCCTAGTTCCATAATTATGGCACAGGATTAAACAATGCAGCAGGTGTAAACATCCCATAATAAAGACTTAAATGAACAAAGATTCAAGCAGCCAGCAGCAGCTGGTGTGGTTCACCTGTTGGTAAATAATCTGCATGTAGTAACTCAGATGATTAAACCAAAGGGAAGAGAAATAAATCTGAATTCAGCCTGACATCCATCTGTAGCTACAGCTGTCTGCCTGTAGAGGGCAGCACAGGTGTGAGCTGATTTCCCTGCGTCGGTTTCATTATTGATTAAGACAACCAGTGTTGGTCTCACCATCATTAATAACAAAATAAACTCCAGCACCCCGAGCAGAAAGACTACAAACATTACGGTGACGTTCGGATCATTTCATGCTGCTGTTGGTTTACACCAGGTACCCACAATCCCCTGCTCCAGCGCCTCAGCGGCCTTTTTGCCTCACAACTCTTGATGTTTCATAACTAAAGTCATGAAATCAGAAGATTGTTTAGATTTTTTACGCTGCTGATGAACTTTTAGGGACCCAGAAATGTTGAACAAATCTGCCCCAAACAAATCAGCAGCTCTGGACCTTCAGGACAACGAGCACCAGCGCTGCCGTGTCACGTTTGGACCAAAATATGTGCAAATGTTGTGTGAGGCCAAACAGTGTGTGCTGTGCTGAAAAGCACCTGAGCAGGTAAAGAAGTGCTTTGACATTTGGGGACATGATGTGTCCATCTGTTCTTTAGCTTGTAAACAATAATACGTTAAATGTTGGGACTCTCGTCGGTAACCAGGATTTCTACGGCTCCTCTTTTGGCACAAATGCAACATGATTCATAAAAATAAAACATCGTTCAAAGTCAACCCAGCGCTGTTGTCTGCCCCCACACTCCCCCACAGCGGACCACCTCTGACCCTGAAATCTTCTCTCGCAGCCTCTGATTTCAGCCTCTACGCCTCCGTGTTGCCGTTCTCCTCCGGCTGAAGCTGCTCTTTCTCAGTGCAGTCCTCCTGCGGGGGGCGCACTCTCTTAAAGAAACCCAGCTGAAAGGAAAGGACAGAAAGATGAAAGGAGAAATCCAGATAAAAGGCACAATTCCACGATCGGAACTTCCGGATAATTTACTGGACCTCGGTGGCACGCGGGCCTCCGTTTCACCGGAGTGTGTGTCCAGGACAATTAAGGAACCAAACAAGTACTTGCAGTGGGCTATGCACTGGAAATGACCCGGCAGAGCTGCTGGGCGAGACTTGTGATTAACACACGCTGATTGGTTGTAGCTCAGCGTGAAAAATATCGACAGACATCGCTAGCGATGGGTACCGAATTCGGTACTTTTTAAGGTACCGACCGAATTCCATAGTACCAACTGAGCACCGATTCACGTCATTTGAAACGGTGCCTCGTTTCGGTACCCTCCCTTCATAACGAGAACTTGCCTAGACAGCTGCGCATGCGCAAGAGCATTACGTCGTCGGTCGCTGCGAGCCAGTTGTAAACAGAGCAGCATGGTAGAAAGAACGCACGCTAAAGCTTGGGTTCTCTTCACTAAATGTGATGGGTAACTGGGTGATGATGAAACCAGCGACAACGATCTAAGTGAGACATCCTCATCTTAATCTGCTCCGGTAGGTAAATAAAATGTTTAACATAACGTTAGCTTGATATGCTAGCTTCCATTTCACTAATGGTGCGTTCGTTTTCTCCTAGGAACTCAGAATTTCTGACTAGAAGAACATGAACGCGCTCTAAAGTTTGGCTTCACTTTACGAAATGCGACGGGTGATTGGGTGAAGATGAAACCAGCGACAACGATCTAAGTGTGAGGCATCATCATTTTAATCTGCTCCAGCAGCTAAATAAACTGTTAAAGACAAAGTTAGCTTGGTATGTTAGCTTCCATTGCCACCGTTGTTATCAGCTAATGGTGCGTTCGCTTTCTCCTCGGAAATTCTAGCTTCCCAGTAGGAAAAATCAATTGAAAAAGGATGGTAAAAAGAATGAAGATACACAGTAAATTTAGTTCACAGTAAAGATGTTTGCTTCAGTTTAATTATCAGCTTATAAAACTACAAGGACGATGTTAAAATACAAACAGTTGTATGTTATTTATCGTGATATTGATCAAATATGGTTACATATTGAGAAAAATATGTATTTAATTATAAAAGAGAATAAAAATATTAAACACTCAAAAGTATCTAAAACTGGTACCGTTAAGTACTGGTATCGATTCCTAGGTACCGGGAATTAGTACCGAATCGATTCAAATGTCAAAGGCACCCTTCCGTAGACATCGCCCAAAAACAGCTTTTGTACATTTTAAAGAGTTGCTGGTGAAGCAGAAAAAGGAGAATAAGCAACATTGAATCTACTGTTTCTAAACGCTGACAAAGGCAGCAAATTATGGGGGCTCGGGCGTGATGGGACCTGTGACACGGTCAAAATGGCGGTGGTGGGAACCTTTGGAACATTTGGAAACAAAACGTATAAATCGAGCCTATGGACATGAATTGTCCGGTATTTATGTCGATGACCATAACTTCATAGTCTCCTACAGAGCGCCATAAAGAACTGCATTGCTTTGGGTCTTGAAAGCAGCTTTATCCGTCACACAGCTGCTCTCTCAACACGTCTCCTGAACGACCAAAATGTAACATACTCAAACCGAATACAACGTCTCTAATGTTACTGATAACTAGGGCTGTGGGCGAGCGGTGACATCGCTCTGTTGAAACAGTCGTCTTAGCAACGTTCTTAAAGGAGACACAACAACAAACATCTTACTTTGTACATGATGAAGATGAGCAGCGCCAGCAGCAGCAGTCCTGCCAGAACGGCCAGAGCCACCACCCAGCCTGGTACTGGCTGAGCGGTGTCAGCCACCCACATCACCGACATGCTGACCTGAAACACAAACCCTCAGTCAGACCTGCTGCTCTTCACAGACCCCCCAAGGAGTGTGTGTGTGTGTGTGTGTGTGCCTCGTACAATGGTTGTGTTGGACGGTAGAGTTGGACTGTTCTTATACGGCATCTCGATGACTTCAAACGAGGCTTTAGATCGAACCACATATGAACGATTCTGATTCTCCGTCTGGAAAAAAAAAAACAATCATGAAAATAAAACCCATCAGTCAGACTAAAAATGTGTGTGTGTGTATGTGTGTTTTAGGGATGTGAGTCTTCACCACTGAGGCTGACTTGAGTCGTATCTCGATACACCACCAGCGAAACGACACAATCGATACGATTCATCCCCATTGACGACTCAGTAATGATTTGACAACGATTTTTAATTCGATACAATTCATGATGTGTTTTGAAAAGACTCAACACATTACAAAATATTTAAAGCCCACGCCTGGTTTTTAAAGATTATTTACACAATAAAATATGTTTGTTGTAAAAATTTGTTCAAAAATGTTTTTGTGAGACTCACTTCGGCCTGTTTGACAGATGTGGCTCAAATGGTTTTGCCAACACTGGTCACTGACTAGCAGCTGATTTGTCAGTAAGTCACATGACCAGCGCTGAACGTCATCCCGCAGCAACAAGGATAGAAACAACGGTGAGCTGGAGGAGCAAATTAGGGAGGAAAATGCCCACATCACCATGGAAACAGTCTGGGAAGTCTGAAGTTTTACAGTTTTCTGGAAGTTGTCCGTTGTCTTTGTTTGGGTTTTTGTTTGGTTTGTTTGGAATTGCCACACCTTAAAACACCTGCTGGGACTGGGATGGAGTGGGAATTTTGTTATTGGGAAGGGAGGGAATTTGATTTTTTCTTGCTTTGAAGAGCATTTTTTAACGATGGGAGTGGGTTGGGAAAGCTGCTGTTTTAGTTCAGCCCAACTGTGACAATAATAAGGAATGACCTTAAGTGACCTCTCGTTTAGAATACAGCTGCTGAAGGATTCCAGCGCAGACCAATGAGACTGCTCAGAAGAAGCCAGCCGCAGCATTTGTTTCCGTCTCCTTCTCCACTTGTTGCCTTTTCTCCCTCTGTTTTGTTTTTCATGGCTGCACCACCCGGCTTCCATTGTAACAAACGCTGACAGATACTGATGGTGCATTCGATGCACCTCAAAAAACAAGGATAGCATGGGATAAACGATATAACCATGGTTGACACGCTAGGAAAGATAGATTGCACATTCAGCTGCCACTTGTATGCGATGCACACTGACCCCTATTTCACACCGGAAGCATCAGCGGCGGGGAACGTCGCTGCTTCAAATAGAGTCCAATCTAGTCTACGGGGAGGTTTCAAACCAGCCTAGACGTGGAAATTTTCTGGCGCGGCATATGTAGCAGCAAGCTGCTTCTGGGACACGTCAGTTCCCACAGTTAACATAGGGCTAGACAGGAAATTGCACACAGTTCAGTGTAAACATCCGGTTTTTCAAAATAAAGGACCAATGCAGTGATGCAATTTCATATCCATGTAGATTACGGCTTTACGTGTGGCCTCAGGGTTTTGATCACTACCAGTTTCATTTGAGAAGTGCAACAGTGTTTTTCCAGCCATGACCGCCAGGCTTTCATCCTGGCAGGGGGGGGGGGGGGGGGGGCACAGCATTCTATATGACATCAAACATCCTCTTTGATAAGATAATATGAAAAAGGAGAAGTGCTTGGATCGAAAGGTGAGTCTGAAAAAGTGATGGTTGTTTACAGGGTAATCAAGAAGTTCTAGAAACATGATCTCCTCATCGTTTCTTCATGGATGGCGTAAACCTTTGAAAATTCGAGGGATTTTGTGACCATGCGAGTTCAGCGAGGATGCTTTTCTGCAGCCAAGACTCTCCCGGTGTGTAATGGACCGCATTGAAGCACGCGAGTAAACCGTTCCACGCCGCTGATGCTTCCAGTGTGGGAAAAGGGGCGTAGCTACCTGGTGCAGCATCGCTAACGTCGTAAACAAACCACCGGTTCAGATCAGTGAGTCCGGTGCGTTTGCGTCTGAGAGTTACCCTCAGGAAGTTGTCCACAGCCAGTCTTGAGTAGATGAAGAGGATGGCGTTCTTTGTCCGCTCCAGACGACCGACCTGACATCTCAGTGACAGACACGTGGCTGTGGTGCAGTCCTACACACACACACACACACACACACACACACACACACACACACACACACACACACACACACACACACACACACACACACACACACACACACAAAGTTATCACTGTGTAAAGACCTTTCTGACTCCTGGCAGCATGTCTGACATCCTAGAGCTGTAGCTCTAGAATAAATGTATGAATAAATACGGATTTCATAATAAAGACTCCTAACTGGTAACAGAAGCTAATAAAAAAATAAAGTTCTAGATGTAAGAAAGCCTGTGTCCTCTGAATGATATGTGTGTGGTGTGTGTGTGTGTGTGTGTGTGTGTGTGTGTGTGTGTGTGTGTGTGTGTGTGTGCGCGCGTGTGTGTGTGTGTGTACCAGTGTCTGCAGGTCACTCTGCAAGTCTCTGGGCTCCAGGTCTCTTTTGTGGACATGGTTTTGGTTCCGTCCTTCTGTTTCTCGCTCTCTGGGTGGAACAATGCTGGTGTTCTGTGATGTCACAGGGATCTGAGACACACACAGAGTCAGTTAATCTGTCTGATCCTGGTGAGAGTGTGTTTAGCTGCTACAGAGACTCACAGAGACGTTGAGCGGGTTGATCTCCACGTCTGTGGTGCAGTTGATGGGTCCCTCCGTATCAAAGCTGGTGATGTAGAGCAGAGAGCCGTTCTTCAGGCGGTACGGCCACATGACGTTCAGAGACGCTTTACTGAACGTGCTGGGCCCATTGTTCAGGAGCTGAGGGAACACGCTTAAGTTTTATTCAACTTCCTCATTAAGTTTTGTTTTATTCTGTCATTGGCTGTTTTTTCCAAGTGACGCATCCCTCAGAGAGACCGGGTTTCCAGACCGCTTCAGTGGGAGGAAATCTTACCGCATGCGCCGTGGTTCTGCACTGCGCTGCGAACCCCTCTGCAGATCTTCAGCTCACTGTCCACCGTGTGCGCTCCGATCCGCGCTGAACACAGTGTCCAGTATAAAGCTATGATGTTCTGATGGGAATCATTTACTGATTGATTTAGTTACCTCCGCGATGTGTGTAACGATTAAAATGTCAGCTCATCTGTGTGCGCATCAGTGTGCATTGGGGTAATTCTTTCAAAACAACCAAAATCCTTGAGTTTATCCTTCAAAATAAACAGTCAAATGGAAATATCTGTAACCTGCCATTTAACTGTTTGCCTTCTTGTGAAGATTGTTGCAAAGAGAAACAACTAAACCTGATTAACCCCAGAGCCATGCGCACTATGTACTCCGTGACTGTAAATGAGGGGAAAACGATTTAATCGGATCCTTTTCTTTTCAACATGGTTTAATGTAAAGTTTCATTCAGTACAAACTTTAGTTACACCAATCTAACTAGACAGAGCCTGGATTTGTATTCTGAACAGTTTAAACTTAATGATGATGGTGGCGATGATGGCGGCACGCGCAGGTGCAGCGGCTCTAAGCTCTCCAGTTTGGTGCTTATTTTTATTGTTTTTGCTTTTATTGTTGCTATGTGAATCCACGAACTTTTGCAACGTCGTAGTCTCCTACAGTCGACAGGACTTAATTGATGTGGGTCTCAGATACAGTTTGTGTGTCTCGGACGACTATCATCGGAAACACAACATCCAGGAGGATATGGCAAGACCGGCGGGGTCTCCGTGGATTGTCTGTCCGTCCTGTGGGCGAAGAAGGAGGCGGAGGGAGAGAAAGCAAAAGAGGGGATGCAGGGCTGGCTCAGAAGCTTGGCTACATAAACAACCGCATCGGCCAGCACTACCAAGCCTCTTTCTGTCTAACGTCAGATCCATTATCCAGAAAATGGACGAGTTGGAGCTACGGATTGCCACCACGAGTTTTACACGAAACTGCTGCATTATCTTTATTACGGAGTCATGGCTTCATCCGATGATCCCCAATGCTGCAGTCGAGCTGGCAGGCCGCACGCTGCACCGGCATGACCGTAACAGTGACTCAGGTAAGAGCAGGGGGGGGGGGGCGGGCTGTGTGTTTACGTGCACAACGAGTGGTGCTGCAACAGCCGCACCATCTACACAAAATGCTCTCCCGATGTGGAGTTTCTGGTGGTCTCATGCAGACCCTTTTACATCCCGGGGGAGTTTACAGTAGTGACTGTGGTGGCTGTGTATATACCGCCGGAGGCTGACGTGAGCACGAACCTCAGCCTCCTGCTCAATACCATAAATAGGCTGCAGCTTACGCATCCTGACGGGGTCTTCATAGTTGCTGGAGATTTTAATAAAGCGTGCCTAAAAGCGGTGCTGCCCAAATTTGTCCAGTTTGTGGATTTTGCCACCAGAGGGAAAAATAACATGGATCATGTTTATTCAAACATCAGAAGCGCCTATAGAGCGAAATCCCTCCCACATCTGGCTGGATCTGATCACTTTTGTCTGTCCCTCACTCCCACTTACGTCTCCCTGCTGAAGAAAAGTAAGCCCCAAACTAAGATGATCAAAATCTGGCCTGAAGGAGCCACCTCACAGCTACGTGACTGCTTCTCCTCAACTATTTGGGACTTATACTACAGCCAAAATCTACGGGAGCACACTGATACCGTACTTTCCTACATTAGGAACTGTGTGGAAACTGTCACCATAAACAAACGGATCAGAGTGTTCCCAAACCAAAAACCCTGCAAGGTGAATTCTCTCCTAAGAAGCCGGAACACTGCCTTTAAGTTGGGTGATAAGGCAGCGAGGGCAGAACTAAAGAAAGGCATCAGAGAAGCCAAAGCAGCCTACAAGAGGAAAATTGAGGATCCCTTTGCAAACAACGATCCCAGGGCAATGTGGCAGGGAATAAACCACATCACTAATTACAGAGGCAGGAAACAGGAAACATCAAAGGACGACAGACTACTGGCCAAGGACTTAAACCATTTTTTTGCCCGTTTTGAGACAACCAGGCCTGCGGTGGCCATACCACCCCCACCCGCCCCAAACAACGACGCACTGACTCTGCAGGAGGACCAAGTGAGATGCGTTTTAAAGTCAGTTAATCCCAGGAAGGCGGCAGGCCCGGATAGAATCCAAGGGAAAGTTCTCAGCGCTTGTGCAGACCAACTGGCGAGGGTTTTTACTGACATCTTCAATAGGTCCTTGTCACTATGCATCGTTCCTCCCTGCCTCAAAACCTCCACTATCATTCCCATTGCTAAGATGACAGCAGTGGACTCTCTGAACGACTACAGGACGATCGCGCTCGCTCCTATTGTGATGAAGTGCTTTGAAAAACTCGTCTGCCAGCACATCAGGGGTAGTTTGCCACCTACCCTAGATCCACATCAGTTCGCCTACAGGGCTAATCAATGTACAGATGATGCTATCAGCATAGCACTTCACACTGCGCTGGACCATCTGGAGCACCAGGGAAGCTATGTGAGAATGCTTTTCTTAGACTTCAGCTCAGCATTTAACCTCATCATTCCGGAGTTCCTGGTCCAGAAATTGGCTCATTTGGGATTTTCCAACTGTATCTGCCGCTGGATCAAGGATTTTCTCACAAACAGACGACAGTCTGTCCGGCTTGGCCCTCATCAGTCCAGCAACATCACCCTCAGTACTGGTTCTCCTCAGGGATGTGTACTGAGTCCTCTCCTGTTCATACTTTATACATGGGACTGTGTTCCGATCCATCTCTTTAACACCTTCATAAAGTTTGCGGACGACACCACCGTGGTTGGGCTCATCTCTGGAGGGGATGAGTCAAACTGCAGAGATGAGGTCAATAGACTGACTACCTGATGTTCAGCAAATAACCTCCTTTTGAACACCAAAAAACCCCCAAAGAACTCATCTTGGATTTCAGAAGGAACAAAGCTGATCCAGACCCTCTCTACATCCAGGGGGACTGTGTGGAAAGAGTTCACTCCATGAGGTTTCTGGGTGTCGTCGTCTCTGATGACCTCTCTGATGACCTCTCCTGGTCTGCTAACACCACGGCAGTATCAAAAAAGGCTCAGCAGCGTCTCCACTTTCTGAGGGTGCTCAAGAGGAACAACCTGGAGGAGAGACTGCTGGTGACATTCTACAGAGCCACTATTGAGAGCATCCTAGCATACGGGATAACTATTTGGTATGCAGGGTGCACTGCTGCAGACAGGAGAGTGCTTTCGAGGGTTATACATTCCGCCCAGAGGATCATTGGCTGCTTGCTGCCCAGCCTGGAGGACTTAGCATACCCCCGTTATCTCAGCAGGGCTTCCAACATCATTAAGGACAAGTTCCATCCTGGGAACCACTTGTTTCAGCTGTTGCCATCGGGTCGTCGGTACAGATCCCAGAGGACCAGGACAAACCGCTTCAGAGACAGTTTTTTTCCCAGGGCTATCATGGCTGTTAACAACAAAAAGAACGTGCTAATTTGAAAGCACATGTTCTTATCTTATCTAATGTTTGCAGGTGTAGCCCTGATGGAACTACACAAGCTGCATGGTTCTAATTTTATATAATGTATGAAGGAAGTATTTGTCCTGATTGAATTTTAATTGTTAAGTGTTATGTATTTCTTTCAACTTGCACCCGGGAGTGGCTTCCAAATTTCATTGTACGAGTGTGTACAGTGACAATAAAGGATATTCTACTCTATTCTAAAACGGAGACATGCGTGACACATCTAAAATTCGCACCTGCTCCGCTATTATGGAAATTAAACTAACAAGATGAATAACATGAAATTATTTAAGGCACAGACAACACCCCCCGCACTTTTGAAAATCTTGCAACGCGCCTGAATGCGGCGTGGAATGGAGTCCATCGGTCTGTGGCGCTGCTCAGGTGTTATGAGAGCCCCTGTTGCTCTGATAGTGGCCTTCAGCTCTTCTGAATTGTTTGGTCTGGTGTATTACATCTTTCTCTTCATCACTACCCTATAGATTTTCTATGGGGTAAAGGTCAGGTGACTCTGCTGTCCAATCAAGGACAGGGATACCATGGTCCTTAAACCAGGTACTGGTAGATTTGGCACTGTGTGCAGGTGCCAAGTCCTGTTAGAAAATGAAATCTGCATCTCCATGAAGTTGGTCAGCAGCAGGAAGCATGAAGTGCTCTAAAACTTCCTGGTAGATGGCTGCGTTGACCTTTGACCTCAGAAAACACAACGGACCAACACCAGCAGATGACATGGAACCCTAAACCATCACTGACTGGAAACTTAACAGTGGACCTCAAGCAACATGGATTCTGTTCCTCTCCTCTCTTCCTCTCAACTCTGGGACCTTGGTTTCCAAAGGAAAATTAACTTTCATCAGAGAATAAATCCTTGGACCACTCAGCAGCAGTCCAGTCCTTTTGTCTTCAGCCCAGGTGAGACGCTTCCGATGCCGCCTCTTGTTCATGAGTGGCCTAACACCAGGAACCATCTGCATGGTGGTTCTTGAAGTTCAGACTCTAGCTGCAGTCCACTCTTTGTGAATCTCCCCACATTGTTGAATGGGTTTTGTTTCACAATCCTCTCCAGGGTGCGGTTATCCCGACTGCTTGTACACTTTAGTCTACCACATCTTGTCCTTCCCTTCTCCTCTCTATTAATGCGCTTGGACACAGAGCTCTGAACAGCCAGCCTCTTTAGTAGTGACCTTTTGGGTCTTGCCCTCCTGTGTAAGGTGTCAAAGGTCGTCTTTTGGACATTCTGAGATACTGAATTTGGGATTTTCATTAGTTGTCAGTTATGATCATCACAATTAAACAAATAAACATTTGAAATACATCAGTCTGTGTGTAGCGATCTAATATGCAAGTTTCACTTTTTGAATGGAATCGCTGAAATATCTAATTTGTGATGATTTTCTAATTTTATGACCAGCACCTGTATGCCGTATTGCCAGAGTCTTACCAATACACACTCCGAAAGCAAAATATTAATTACTGTGAAATCCTGATGAAAAATCTATTTAAAATTTAGAAAATCATGTGAAATTAACTACTTGGGATTAAGAAGGTACTTTAGACGAACTTTTCACTGCATCCCTAAAAATTATTTTAGCTTTAAAAACAGATTTTTGCAAATAGATTCTGTAAATGCTGGCAGAAAAAAATCCTGTGTGTGTGTGTGTGTGTGTGTGTTCCCACCTCAAACACATGTACGATCTGTGGCCCGATGTCATCTCCAACCTCCGGAGGGTCTTTAGGTTTCCAGTTTGCAATAGGAAGCAGCACCTGACTGGGAGACGAAGACCTGAAACACACACACACGCACACACGTGCATGCGCACACACGCACACACACACACACACACACACACACACACACTTTTGTTGACTACTGTAGAACTGGGTGATTTGTAACATCCATCAACATTTACTGAACATCGTGTGAAAGGACAGACGTTTTGTGAGCTTTACCCTCTGATGGAGACTTTAGCCAGGACTTCCAGATTGGTGATGCTGGACCTTCGAGGACTGGTGTTGTTAAACTGGTTTGAGCTGGAACACAAACAAGCTTAGTCACCTTCATGCAAGCATAAAGAAAAAAAAAGCTAGAAAAGGAATCTAGGCAAAACCAGGTGCAGCCAGAAGGTTAGACGTGTTAGAGAGAACCGTAACCAACATCACAGGATGGGCGGTAGCATTTTATTTAACAACAACCAAATAAAAGCGAGTTCAGGAGGTGCAACAATACATTTAACAGGAACACATTAGTGCAACGTGGAGCGATCCACTGGTGATGGACCAATGAACCATTACGGTGAAGATTATTGGTTAAAAGAAATAAACCTTTGGAAAAGTTGGTCCCGGGCACTTAAAATCCAGTGAATGTGACACGCTGTAGGAAGTGTGAGGAAGCTGAGTGCAAGCAAAGCTGCTGAAGCCTCTCATTAATACCCCCCCCCCACCACCACCACCACCACCACACACACACACACACACACACACACACACACACACACACACACACACACACACACACACACACACACACACTCAGGAATGTAAGAGCAGCTTCCTTCACTCTCAGCCGCAGGCGAGCAAAATAAAGAGGCCGGCTCAGGTTTAAAGGATGAGTTATCGGCTCTAAGGCTAAGGCTGACAGCTCGAGTCACTCACTTCTTTGTCTTTGAAGGAAAATATTTTCAATTGTGCTGAAAATATAAATAATAACCTCTGCAACCGAGCTAGCATGGGCTTGTCTATGCAGGCAGCGTTTCTCTACCCCCCAGCTGCCAGCAGGTGGTGCTGTAACACTTCCAGGTACCTGACTATCTGCAGGTCGAATCTGACCGCTGTGTCCTCCTCAGACAGCTGGTGCACGCTGAACCTCAGCTCAGCCAGGACCTGACCCACGACACAACACAGAAACGGATTCAGCTCCACCCTGATGGATTATTAACCTCAACATGATCCTGTGTTCACTCACCTTAGTTCCTCCCTTCATGGGGTTTCCCAGGTCACAGACCACCATCTTGGTCTGGTTTTCCTTCTTGTAAGCACAGGAGAGTCTGGAGAGAGTCTGTGAAGAGCCGAGCCAGAGGTTAACTCCGGATGGAGACCAGAGCAGAGATCTTCAGGATGTTTAAGTGTTACCTGACTGCGAACGACCCCAGTGAAGTCGGCCTGTTGGGGAGGAAACACGTGGAGTTCAGCCTCGTAGGCTCCCTCGCCCTGGTTCTCAGCGCTGACCTCCAGCGTCAGAGCGTTGTCATCCCCAAAGTAGATCTGGTCTCGGTCGCTGCCGCCAACCAGAGGGCAGAAGCATCCATCAGACACAATCACCAACAGAGATGATGCTGAAACAATCGTTCAGGCTATTGCAGCATCACTGACTTCAGGTCAGCAGCTGGAGGCTGGAAGACTTCCTACCTCTTAACAGACAGCCGGAGGTCAGGCTTACAGATGTTATCGTCTCCACAGTCCAGGAGGATGTGAGCCTGGGGAGAGGGAGCAGAAACGCATCAGAGAAACGGAAAAAGGACAAAGTGAAATAAATATATAAATATTAGCAAAACACAACAAATCAACCCAGCATGATCTACGAGCTCCAAGCAGACCGCATCAGGAGCCCCCAGAGACAGAATAGGTGACGAGGAGTCGGAACAAACCTGTTTGGTGACGTTAGTCGGCACCGACACATCGACGATCGGCTTGAGTCCCGTCGGATCAGCAGCTAGCTGGTAGTCCAGACTGTACTCCATCGCCACGGAGATGGGCGTGATCTTATCCCGAAACTCATCCTGGATCAGACCACATCAGACGCATCAGCGGCCGCAGAGCTTCAGTTTACGCTCTCAAGCACTCGTTTTAGTGCAATACACAAAATCTGATCTCACCTTCAGGAAGACCTCCTGCTCCTCACACATTGCGCGTTTGTTGTTCTCCACCGTCATGTTCTTAGAGTACTGGAAGGTCTGACTGAACAGGAAGAGGGCTCGTTTAGTCGCCGCCTGCTTCAGACGGTCCAGCGTGAGGTCCACACGGAAGTCTGGGGGTGAGAGAGTTGGAGAAGGAAAATGAGAAGGTGTGAAAGCCAGAGCTGGACCTGGCAGGTGGCTGCTGGACTTTTACTCACTCAGCTTCTCTGGAGCACCTGCTCCTGCCGCAGCTATGCAGTACTTCACCTTAAAACTGCAAAAGATGAGAGAGAAAGGGGCCGTGATCTGTCCTGTCAGGATAAGGTTCGGACTAACATTCACATGAAGCTACAGCCAGCAGAGGTTCAGGGACCAAAACCTGTGTCTGATCTTTAATAGTGGTGATCAAACGGCTTCCCCCCAGACTCGCAGCATAACGACACGCGTTCATGCAGGCCTCGTGGGTTAGCGGTCATCACTAATCTAATCAGGTCATTTTACACAAGAACAAGCACGAACAGCTTGCTGATGGCCCACGAGAGCTTAAACATTCTCCCTCTCCTGATGATAACATTTAACATTCTTTGACGTTGGATGTGCTACTACTTGTTCACCCGTTTAATTATAGATCCACTAGGATTAATACAATAAAGTTTATCTCTCGCCAAATAGAATATTTACTAAGAAATCACAATGTAACCATAGAAACATTACTTTGTGTGTGTGTGTGTGTGTGTGTGTGTGTACCGTTACACCTCCACAGGTAACTGTTACAAATCTCAGCATTAAGAACTGAATGGGATTGTTTCAACTCACCAAGACACCATGCTGCCAGAAAGGTCCTTTTTACAAGTCTTTTCCTCCGGGTTGATGATCTGTGGAGTTATGTCCAATGTGGCATTCACACTGATGACGGGACGAGCTCTGAACACACACACACACACACACACACACACACACACACACACACACACACACACACACACACACACACACACACACACACACACACACACACAGGTTGCTAGGAGGGCCAGCACCACGGGGGTCCTAACAACATCTATAAAGACTGCAGGAGAAAACTGAACTAACAACGGCAGGTCTTTGATATCAGAGGTGGCCTCGCTCATTAAACATCTCAGTCTCTGTCAGAAATAACACACACACACACACACACACACACACACACACACACACACACACACACACACACACACACACACACACACACACACACACACACACACACACACACACACACACCAGACTTAGATCTGATTACCTGTATAACACAGCTTTGTCTGCTCCAAACACTCCAACTACTAAATCTGCAGGAGGCACACAGAGAGATCAGCTTCTGTTTTCCCACCACCTAAATGCTTTACATCTGTGTGTGTGTGTGTGTGTGTGTGTGTGTGTGTGTGTGTGTGTGTGTGTGTGTGTGTGTGTGTGTGTGTGTGTGTACCTGGATATCCATTCTGGTCTACATCAGTATTTCCTGTCATAGAGTATCCAAAGCTAGCAGGCATGTAGCTGGACGCCCATTTGCCCTGGAGGACCTAAGCAACAAAGCAGGTCCAGCTGATCTGAATGAAGTTGTGGTTTTGTACAGGTTACTTTACTTTCTGCTCCTCCGTGGAAACCACAGAGCTCCTTTCAAACCCTTTCATGGAAACATCTTCCCAGAGTCTGATCCTAACACTGAAACTGATGTGAAATCAACATTTTAACTGTTTCTCTGGATTTCTCAACAATGACAAAGGCTTTAGCTAACAGGACTTTTGAGCATTTACCTGAGAGGGTGATGAGTCAGGTCCCTTAGGGCGGCCATTGTGGATGTATACCAAACCGTTGTGGTCAGGACCTCCATAAGGAGCAGAGATGGCCACATCTGGACAGAAATAGCTGAGTCAAGCGTTTTGGACCAGAAGACAGAAGTGGATCTGTGCAGTGATGAGGTTTACCGTTGAATCCGTCTTTGTCCAGGTCTCCCAGCGCAGCGATGGCAGAACCATATCTGGCATAAACCTCTGAGCCGGTCAGGAACTGGGGTAGCTGAAAGGAGAAGCCCCCCCGACTGAGATACACAGCCACCTGGAGGGAAAGAGAACACACGCAAACGGCGTCAGCCTGGCGTCCCCATGGCGACCACCACCACTGTGCATGTGCACAGTAGGACTAGGTAACTAAACACTTCTAATCCAAAAGGATTCAGATGAAGGCAAGTGGGCTTCTATGATTTCTTAAAGACGTTTCACTTCTCATCCGAGGAGCTTCACAATCCTGGCATGGGATAAGCCTCATGCCTCCTCGATGAGAAGCCAGACGTCTTCACGAAACCAGATTATTCCAGTTGCCTTCATCGAAACCCTTTTGGATTGATATGACCTGGATGAGTGAGAAGCTTCACCACCTCTATGCAATGGTGACAGCTGTGTATGAGCTGCTCCTACCTGTCCCACCTCCCTGAGCTTCCCATCTGAGCCTCTGTCCATGAAGAGAGGAGCACCGACCAACAGGTCCACCAGACTGAAACACATCCCTTACAAATCAGTCCTCCAATCAGAGACGTGCATATTTACTCTGTAGGTCCAACACTCGTGGGAAATGTTCTTCCTGTCTCAGAGTTTAAGTCAACTGATCCGTGCAATAACTGATGAAGAATGTGATCAGAAGCAGACTCTCTTTAGGTCTGAATGCAGGGTATCTGCAGGTTTAAGGGAGCCAAATGTAAGACTTTTTAAGACCTTTTTTAAGGCCACTTTGACCAAATTTAAGCTATTTTTAAAATTAAATTTAAGCTATAATTTCCAGCTATTGCCTGGAAACGGTGCTAACCACGACGCGAACGTGGGATTAGCCACCCAGTTACCATTAAACTTGCCCTTCCCATGGTGCAAGCTCCCACTAGCTTAACCAGCTAATGTGCTCATCTAAAAATAGCCCCCTTTCACAACCAACTGAATGTGTACGGTTCCGCCAATATCATACACAAAAACCGCTGAACACTAAACTAGAAATTCACGAAACATTTTATAGAAATAAAAGAATCTTGTTTATTGGGTCTTTGGTAATGTAAGACCTTTGGAAACTGTATTTAAGGATTATTTGTCATTTTTAAGGATTTTTAAGGCCATAAATTTGGAAAAACTAATTTAAGACTTTTCAGGGACCCGCGGATACACCTGGAATAAAAACAATCATTTAGTGTGTTTGGTTCGACAGCTGGATCCGTCACACGACAGAACCTTGCATTTGGTGAAGCTGAAGGTGACAGCCCAGCCAGGAAACAACCTCACAAAGGCAGTAGGAGAAGACCAGTCACTTACCCATCGTTATTAACGTCAGAGACGGCCACTGAATGTCCAAAGTAGGCTGCCATCTACAAGAGAAGTGGGAGAGACGACTCTTTAGAGGCCGTGCACACACCCTGCTAAAGGTCCTGCTCAAACATTTGTTCTTCACATCCAGTGGCAGAATTCACCAAATTCTAACAACTTCCACTTGGGTGTCAGTGATTTAGAGCAGAGAGGCAAGAAAAGGTGGAGCTGGGACCTTCAAAGGGAGCTGATAGCAGCGAGGTTGTTGGGTTTAGAGGGGGAGTTGTTTAGGATGAACTCTGTCATTAACTCTGCTCCTCCCCCACAGTTCTCTGTGTTCACACACTCCTCTGGATCCACTAAAACGGCTCCTCGCATTTCTTCTAAGCAATTAAAACAATAATAAAGAACTGTGGCTGTTTAAAAAACAACTGGAAAAAAAGTGATTTTATTTGAAAACGACCGTCTGACACCGCCAGCCCTCGTTGCTTTCTAGCTGAGGTCTCCTAGGAACGTGTGGTGTGTGTTGGGGGTCCTGCAGCTCACCTGAGAGCCAGTGAAGTTGATCATGGACGCCATGTTTAGCCCATTGAAGATGTTCACCTTAAACACACAGAAGCATCGCCTTAACTTCACCTCTGCATCCATCCCAGTCTGGAGGACGTACCGCTGAGACGAGTGTGAACGCTTACATAACCCAACGCCTGCTGTCCTCTCGGTACTCCAGTCACAAAATCTGTCAACGTCAGGAAAAGAGACGCAGCATGAATCACAACCAGTATTTCCACAACCCAGCCATTAACTACAGATACAGGGACTAAACGACTGCCCCCTGGTGGCTGGCTGCAGTAAATGATTAGGTCCCACCCCCCGAGGAGCAAACACACTCTGGCTAAGACAACATAGTGGCTCCAGTAACTGTGACATTGTTACAAGGGAAGTAGATGGAGACTCGTTCAATGGAACTAGGATTGGGACAATATTACATGTACCGTATTTTCGGACTATAAGCCGCTACTTTTTTCCCCATGCTTTGAACCATGCAGCTTATAATGAGGTGCGGCTTTACTGAAGATTTTCCTCCACCTGCCAGGGGGCGCATTAGCAGAAAGTGAAACAGATGGAAGTGAAAAGTGGAAATCGAAGAAAGTGCTCATTTTAATTTAGCACATGCAAGCAGCCGGCACGACGAAGAAGTTTTTTCAAATCCATATCCCCTCATCATGGAAACTACACGTATGAGTTCATATGATGCTGTATTTAAGTTGAAGGCCATTGATCTGGGAGTAAAGGAATGAATCCATGGTTCGGCGCTGGAGACGGCAGCGGGAAGAACTCATTCACACCAGCTTCACCCAGGGACATCGACACAGAAAAGGTATGTGACGAAGCTCTTCTGAGGCTGTTAAAAAGGGACTTTACGGAGTTTTGAACTTTTATGCTCGTGATTGCCCCCTCAGGCCAAAAGCGTAACGGCAGCTTCAATAGTAGGCTCGTGCACGAGGCGCGCATGCTATACATGCCCACTCCTTAACGAAAATAACAGCTGAGACTGTCCCTTGTGTGTGTGTGTGTGTGTGTGTGTGTGTGTGTGTGTGCGTGCGTGCGTGCGTGTGTGTGTGTGTGTGTGTGTGTGGCCCGGAGGACAGAGAACAGGAGAAGACTCGGCTAATTCAGGGGTGGACCTTTAAAGCGCCCGAGCGCCAATGGTGCTAAATTTTCTCGTTGGGCGGTAAATACTTGACAACTTACCGCCAAGGTGGCGCCCAAGCCTTATTTGTCATTTACACAGGCTTTCACCTACATCATGGCCGCGCCCTGTAGGAAGCTGCCGTTTTCGTTTTGCGCCCGTGAACCTGCGCGCATCTAGCCACGTACTGCACTTGTACGATTCATGCACATACTGCACGATTCTAGTTATAGTCACGTGAACTATAAGTTCACTATTAAAGACGAAGTGGAACCACGCTAGAAACACACAAGCACGCAGGGAGATGCCGCCGCCACAGGGATGGGATTTCTTGATGAAATCGCTTCAAAACTGGTGAGGAGAAGCGAGACAGTTCGAAACGGTATGAAGCAGAGAAGCGTGTGCGTCGGTGGAATAATTCTTGGTGGTTTAAAGAAGACGGGAGGCGCAGAGAATGGCCGTGTTCGAGTTGGGCAGCGCCTCGCCTGGAAAACAGACGAGAGCAGACGGAAGCAGCAGGGGGAGTGGCTGAAAGCCGGCGTTTAAGTCGGACAGATTTCCTGCATGTGTAGCTCGGGGGTGACGATGGCTGAAGATATCGCGTTAGCGTTCACACTTGTTTAATTTTCAATTTTAATTCTGGTGCCTGTTAGCAGCTGAAACACATCCTCACGTGCTTGTGGATATCATATATTGTATACGGAGACATGACTGTAATAATAAGTAAAGGTTATCAGCTGTAGGTTTAGTGTGCTCATAGGAAACGTGACAAAAGAAAACAAAACACATTTCTCTTTATGGCCTATATAGTTGTCATCATCAACATAACATGATTTACAGAATACATGTGACCAACTAACATTTCATGTTCTACCACTGGATGTTTGGATCAAAATATGAACCAATCAGATCTTAGATCAGGTGAGAGCCAGGCGTTTCCCGTCATCCCCTAGGTTTTGCAGCCGGTGGAGAGCAAATGCAGCGCCTTGCTCCAAAATCTGCGGCCGCCTTGATCTCACGAGGTTATCATTGCCTATGTATGAATGACGTCAGAGCAAGTCGGCGTCAAGTCGGACACAAATCTAATCAGCGTGCACTGCTCGCCGATCACTGCTGGTCTAATCTGCGCAGAACTGGCTCATCTCGAACACAGTCGATGGCTCGAGTACAGCAAAGCGGAGTTGGTGATGTACTGCGTTGTATGCCGAAAGTATGCAACGACAAAATCGAGTTTTGTTGAGGGAACAAACAAATTCAAATTTGAATACGTTATTATGTTTGTGAATGTGTACAAAATAAAGGTTTATTACATTTAAAATGGTTCAGTTGTTATTTTGACTAGTTTTGGCAGCTGACCAGCGGAGCCGGTAAATATTCAGAGTTACCGGCCCGGCTGGCCGGTTGGTTTTGAAGTTAATGTCCACCCCTGTAATTAATCAAATTATTTGGTTCTGTACCTTTCTCTTCAGCACAGCCGACAAAGGTTTATGATGGCTCAGTCCTCCTGCATGCTCAGATCATTCCCTTCCCTTGCTTGAAAAATTGTTCCAAAATGAAAGTTGAACCCACACCTTTTTTATCTGTGAATTCAATGCCGTTCGGCACTCTCAAATAAAAATTTGGGCATCTTACTGTAAAAAATACACCATTAATGTAAAAAAATAAACTCTAAACGAACTATGTTCACATCCAGAATCAAACCCAGGTCTTCTGCATGGGAGTCGGACATCTTACAAAGTGAGCTACACTCTAGTAACATTCACAGTATCTGTAACTTTTATATCCTTGATGACAGCTGAAACAACGTCAAACCAAAGAACGGTTCAGAGCGAAAATGGTTATTTTGTTGTTAATTTGCAGGAAATATCTGAAGAAAGTTCTACAGAAAGTAGCTAAGGGTCCTCAGAAATGTAGCTAGGTTCGTCACTAGGCGTTAGGAACAGCGACAAAGACTAAATCTACTGATAGCAAATGCTACGGGCTATGCCTGAGCGTGAACGCGCATGAAGCAGCCTGCTCGACCCGAGCAGCTCCCTTTTTCTGTGATTTTACAGAAAAACAGGCAATCACAGTAAAAATGCCAGGGCTCATTCTACAGGACCAGGGCATTGCAGGAGAATGTATGAAGAAGACATTTATTATTTCTATACATGTTTTGGCTGTCAAACTTCCATAATGCCCCTTTAACTCCGACACTGAAGAAGAGGACTTCTTTTCAGTGCACAGGAGGACGATGAATAAACTAATCAATACATTTTCTGTGTTGTTTGATACTGATCAGTTCAGTTACGTTTAGTCAAACTACGGTTTCAATTCAGTAGATATCTGCGGCTTTTAGCCCGGTGCGGCTTATATTGAGGTGCGCTCTATAGTCCGGAAATTACGGTAAGTTTTATCAAGCTGTGTAACCTGTTACATGTTTTGTAAATGTAACTTTTGTTTTGGAACTTGCAGAAAACAATCAATGTACAAGTTTCAATCACAACTCTAAAAACACACATCCCAGTCTAAAAGTACAAAACATTTTGTCCCAATTCTGGCTTCCTTCCCAAAGAACCAATGACAGGCTTTGTCTGACCAACCAATCATGAATCTTGGATTCTTTTTCATAGACAATTTCTGTTGGAAGGAAGCCAGAATTGGGACAAAATGTTTTGTACTTGTAGACGAGTTTTGTATTTTGAGAGTTGTGATTTGAAACTTGTACACTGATTTTTTTCTGCAAGTTACAAAATAAAATTTTAATGTTTCGTACGAAAGTTACTCGTTACATAATGAGAATTTCACGCTACAAAAGTAACAGTTACAAAACATGTTACAAGTTACAAAACTTGGTACAAGTTAAATGTAATATTGTCCCAATCCTAGTTCCATACTCATCATCCGTCTTTATGGACTGATAAGAGAAAACAGCTGCTCTTACCTTCCTTTCCATCACCGTTGAAGTCTCCAACTGTCACGGAGTATCCTGTCAGTCAGAGACAGAACATCAGCAAACAGGAAGTTCCTTTCAGCTGTGTTAGAATTCTTGCATTTTTTTTATGATTGAGTGTTTTTATCATTGTCTTTAAGTTGTAACAGTTTTTATTTTTTGCTGCCCCTTGGCCAGGACACCCTTGTAAAAGAGGTTCTTAACCTCATTGGGTCTCTATCCTGGTTAAATAAAGGTTAAATAAAAAATAAAAAAATAAAAAAAAGTGTTTACACGCTACAGCTGAGAGGGAACGGCTCACATATAAGAGCAAATGAAGACGAGGACTAAACTTTACCCATGAAAACATGAAGTCCAACGCACCAATCTGCACAAAATCCCTCAGATCTAAAAGGGCAGAAAGCTATTCCCCACAAGTTGTTTTCCAAACTTTAATGTTTTAAATCATAACTAGTGTCTGACCTAAGGCTCCATTTCATTTTAAACTTATTTATTTGTGTTTCTTTCATCTCTGAGATTTAAAATAATGTATTCACCAACAAGCCAATTTATTCTAGTGTTCAAATGTTTTTCTTAATTAAAGCAGCAAAGTGGAGTTTTCCCTTTTCAGGAATAATCTTTGAGTTATTTCATCTGTGACAGTGACAGTTTAACCGTGTACTGTGATATAATGTAGCCTTTAGTTTTTACTAGAACCGTCCTCATCCTGTAGAGCACCGTTCAGCATTAGCCAATAGGGGTAGACACCCTCCTACGTACACATGTCACTCACATCTGTGAGGTTTTGGACGTACCTAGACTGATGCAGAGATGTTGACATTTCTTAAAGGAAGTAAGTCTTTAATAATTCTAGAACGATGTGTTTATCTCTGTTGGCCAGCTAGATGTGTGCATTCATAGATAGCAATGGGTACCGAATTCGGTACTTTTTAAGGTACCGACCGAATTCCACAGTACCGACTGAGCACCAATTCATGTAATTTGAAATGGTGCCTCGTTTCGGTACCCGTCCTTAACAATGAGAACTTGCCTAGACAGCTGCGCATACGCAAGAGCGTTATGTCGTTGGTCCCTGCGAGCCAGTTGTAAACAGAGCAGCATGGTAGAAAGAACGCACGCTAAAGCTTGGGTCCACTTCACTAAATGTGATGGGTAACTGGGTGATGATGAAACCAGCGACAACGATCTAAGGGAGACATCCTCATCTTAATCTGCTCCGGTAGGTAAATAAACTGTTTAAGATAACGTTAGCTTGATATGTTAGCTACCATTGACACCATTGTTATTAGCTAATGGTGCGTTCGCTTTCTCCTCGGAACTCCGAATTTCCGACTAGAAGAACATGAACGCTCTCTAAAGTTCTTAACTTCCCAGTAGGAAATATCAAAGAAAAAGGACGGCAAAAGGAATGAAGATACACAGTAAATTTAGTTCACAGTAAAGATGTTTGCTTCAGTTTAACTATCAGCGTATAAAACTACAAGGACGATGTTAAAATACAAACAGTTGTATGTTATTTATTGTGATATTTATCAAATATGGTTATACAGTGGGGCAAAAAAGTATTTAGTCAGCCACCGATTGTGCAAGTTCTCCCACTTAAAATGATGACAGAGGTCAGTAATTTACATCATAGGTACACTTCAACTGTGAGAGACAGAATGTGAAAAAAAATCCATGAATTCACATGGCAGGATTTTTAAAGAATTTATTTGTAAATCAGGGTGGAAAATAAGTATTTGGTCAATAACAAAAATTCAACTCAATACTTTGTAACATAACCTTTGTTGGCAATAACAGAGGTCAAGCGATTACTATAGGTCTTTACCAGGTTTGCACACACAGTAGCTGGTATTTTGGCCCATTCCTCCATGCAGATCTTCTCGAGAGCAGTGATGTTTTGGGGCTGTCGCCGAGCAACACGGATTTTCAACTCCCTCCACATATTTTCTATGGGGTTGAGGTCTGGAGACTGGCTAGGCCACTCCAGGACTTTCAAATGCTTCTTACGGAGCCACTCCTTTGTTGCCCGGGCGGTGTGTTTGGGATCATTGTCATGTTGGAAGACCCAGCCATGTTTCATCTTCAAAGCTCTCACTGATGGAAGGAGGTTTTGGCTCAGAATCTCATGATACATGGCCCCATTCATTCTGTCCTTAACACGGATCAGTCGTCCTGTCCCCTTAGCAGAAAAACAGCCCCAAAGCATGAAGTTCCCACCCCCATGCTTCACAGTAGGTATGGTGTTCTTAGGATGCAACTCAGTATTCTTCTTCCTCCAAACACGACGAGTTGAGTTTATACCAAAAAGTTCTACTTTGGTTTCATCTGACCACATGACATTCTCCCAATCCTCTGCTGTATCATCCATGTGCTCTCTGGCAAACTTCAGACGGGCCTGGACATGCACTGGCTTCAGCAGCGGAACACGTCTGGCACTGCAGGATTTGATTCCCTGCCGTTGTAGTGTGTTACTGATGGTGACCTTTGTTACTGTGGTCCCAACTCTCTGCAGGTCATTCACCAGGTCCCCCCGTGTGGTTCTGGGATTCTTGCTCACCGTTCTCATGATCATTTTGACCCCACGGGATGAGATCTTGCGTGGAGCCCCAGATCGAGGGAGATTATCAGTGGTCTTGTATGTCTTCCATTTTCTGATAATTGCTCCCACAGTTGATTTTTTCACACCAAGCTGCTTGCCTATTGTAGATTCACTCTTCCCAGTCTAGTGCAGGTCTACTATTCTTTTCCTGGTGTCCATCGAAAGCTCTTTGGTCTTGGCCATAGTGGAGTTTGGAGTCTGACTGTTTGAGGCTGTGGACAGGTGTCTTTTATACAGATAATGAGTTCAAACAGGTGCCATTAATACAGACAACGAGTGGAGGACAGAAAAGCTTCTTAAAGAAGACGTTACAGGTCTGTGAGAGCCAGAGATTTTCCTTGTTTGAAGTGACCAAATACTTATTTTCCACCCTGATTTACAAATAAATTCTTTAAATATTCTGCCATGTGAATTCATGGATTTTTTTTCACCTTCTGTCTCTCACAGTTGAAGTGTACCCATGATGTAAATTACTGACCTCTGTCATCATTTTAAGTGGGAGAACTTGCGCAATCGGTGGCTGACTAAATAATTTTTTGTCCCACTGTATATTGAGAAAAATATGAATCATAGATGAGGAGTTGCTTTCAGCTGTAAGTAGGGGGAGGGGCTGAAGGTGCAATATGCTTTTCCACCTCTAGATGGTGCCCTCTAAGAAACATTTCAGATTCATGCTTTAATTAGAACATAAACCTTCTAAAAATACCGGAGGTTAATATGTTTTTATCTGAATTGCTTAATTCATTCATCCTCTCTGAAATCTGTAGACCACTAATTCTTAACTTGTGTCATTTATCTTGGTTCTCCAATAATACAATGAAACATTTGTGTGTTTCACGTGGATGTTGGATGTTATAAAACTCTTATTTCAGGACAGAGTAAATGCTACTAATGTCTGAGCAAAACCTAACCTGTTTATAAAATAACAGGGATGGACTTTAGAGCAAAAACACATTTAAATCTGAGTGTTTCACAGCTAAAAAACACAAATATCAACAATGAGCTCAGTCACGTGTAACATGAGAGACGTGTTTGTATTAAAGGCTGATTTTAGGCTAAGATGTAAACAGATTTTAGTCTGAGTGTCATGTCAACACAAGAAAAACATCCAGAAAAGAAAAGCAGAGAAGAATCTGAAAAACTACATCTTAATGAAGAGTGTGAGAGTGGGATTACCGAGGTAGCTGTCGTCATACTGCGGACCGGCCGATTTGGTGGCCAGGGTGTTCTGGTACGGCACGATAAAAGCAGCGCCGGCACGAGTAAAAATCTCAGAAACATCATCGGAAATCAGCTGGCCTGAGGAGGGAGGAGAACAATAAAAACAGGGAGAGAAAAGGGACGGTGAGCAAATGAGGTTAATAAGGAGTGAAGGAGAAAAAGAAGATTTAAAGCAACAAGAAACGAGAAAATGATTCAGAGTGAACAGAAACAAAAGTTCAGACGTTTGTTTACAGGAAGCTTTTGGCTTTGGAAAAAAAACATGAGTTAGAGTCACAGAGACATGGTGCTGACAGCTGTCTAATCAGAAACAGAGCTCTGTCTGTCTGTGTGTGTGTGTGTGTGTGTGTGTGTGTGTGTGTGTGTGTGTGTGTGTGTGTGTGTGTGTGTGTGTGTGTGTGTGTGTGAGAGAGAGAGAGAGAGAGAGAGAGAGAGAGAGAGAGAGAGAGAGAGAGAGAGGCCAGTTGTATAATTATGAGTGTTGACTCAACAGGAAACAATAATTAGGTGAACAGAGCCAAGGAGGAGCCTCAGCTCACAAAGAAAACACGTGTGTGTGTGTGCGTGCGTGCGTGTGTGTGTGTGTGTGTGTGTGTATGGCTAAGCTCAGTGTCACACCTGCTGTGTATGTCAGACGGCCAGACAAACATGGATTAGAACCCTCGGCTGACACATACACCTGAACCTCACCTGTTTATTAAACTCTTAAGGTGGCGCTGATGCGTTCTGCTGGTCACTGACTTAAGGCCCTGAGTCACATTCTAGGCTACGAGTCCAGACCTGAACTATCGCCCTCTAAAGTTCAGAAATGATCAAACATGTTTGAAACTAAAAACTGTATTAATCAGTTGTTATGGTGAAACTGTTCTGTACAGCAACTCATTTTTGGCTCAAGCAACTTGGTTTAAAGGGAGATTTTGGCCGTTTTGAAGGCTAACACCAAGTTTGAGTTTGTGGGTTCTCTTTTTCTGGCATATCACTGAATCCGTACTAATCCTGAAACACAGAAGCCTCAGTTTAAAGCTGAAGATGCTTCTAAATGAGCTTTAGACTACGTTATAAACCACTCTGCTAGGTGAGGCCAACAATTTGAAGCCTCCAGGTTAATCCCTCCCAAATGGTCTGAGTGTGAGGAGTTAGGCGTCATGACTGAAGGGTTGGATTTGTTCAGTAATAATGACATCCATCCTTCAGTAACTTGAAAATGAAAACAAATTTTAAAAGATGCACGTGAAAAAAACTAACAAGGCAACCTGAGCAGCAGGAGGCATGTGCGGTGTCAACTCTATGATCAATAAGAGACGCCTGCACTATGCCAGCGCTGCAAGTGCCACTAGTTTACTTCACCGTGTCAACTGTTAACCACCAAAACTTGTGTGAGATTAATGCTTTCATCTGTCATTCAGCTATTTAAAGACCAAGTTCACTTAGAAACCATTTCATAATTTTTTTAGAAATACGGTTGACCACTCGTTGTTTAACAAACAGCCTAAATGTGAAAGTAGTCTTGTAACCCCATTTCCTGCATTAGCCAAAGAGGAAATAGACGAGGAAACGCTCGGATTGGAAAACACCACTCTGGTTTGCGTCACGCTGAAAGTTAACATTCATGGACTCACGACGGCGAAGGCTGTTGTTGGTTTAGCATCCAGGAGAGAGTAGAGAACACCTCGGCTAGTAGAAGCTAACTGTTAGCATTAGCAACTCCACTACAAAGCAGAACTCCTTCAGGCGTGTGTTCTTTGTGGAGATAAAACATCAACATCGTAGAGCAAACGAAGTCAGTGGTAGAGTCGTGTTGCTGTTAACCAATCAGATGAGAGCTGTCTAAATATCAGCAAATAAGAGTTCAGATCCTGCCGTCTTCAGCTGCTCTTTTCTACGTCTACTTCCTGAAGTAGGAGCAAGTTTTTCCCCCACAAAGATGAATTTACAAGGTATTAATTTATATTAAAGACCACTGCAAATGTAGAAGAAAATGAGTGAACTTTAAGGTCTATGGAAACCTCTGGAAGGCAGAGATGCCATTGGCTAACACACGTCATCAGAGATTCCAACACTTAGTGGACCTAGACCTTGGAAAATCCATCTTAAAGTAGAAAAATAAAGAGTAAATGAAGCAGAGTCAGAGCTAAACTTCTTTCCACTTGAGTCACCACCCCTTCTCCAATACCGTAAACACTCACCCTGCCAGTAGAAGCTCCCGGGTCCTCCCACCACCACTCGGTTGCTTTTCTAAAACCACACAGAGAAAAAAATTCTGATTGTAAAGGATTTTCACTTTCTAATCTGTCCAGGAAAACCAAGATAAGTATTTACTATCAGCTGTGTCAAGAAATAATGGCTTTTTAAAAGGGGTGTACTCATCCATCCATCCATCCATCCATCCATCCATCCATCCATCCATCCATCCATCCATCCATCCATCCATCCATCCATCCATCCATCCATCCATCCATCCATCCATCCATCCATCCATCCATCCATACATCCATACATACATACATACATACATACATACATACATACATACATACGCTGGTCATGGAATTAGAATATTATGACAAAGTTGATTATTTCAGTAATTCCATTCAAAAAGTGAAACTTGTACATTGGGATGCGAAAGTTTGGGCAGCCTTGTTAATCTTTGTGATTTTCCTGTATAAATCGTTGGTTGTTATAATAAAAATTTGCAGATAAATACATCATATAGGAGACACACGGTAACATTTGAGAAGTGAAACAAAGTTTATAGGATTTACAGAAAGTGTGCAATAATTATTTAAACAAAATCAGGCAGGTGCATACATTTGACATTTGTAGTGTTAAGAAAGTCATGTGCACAGACATTAAAAGTTAGAGACACAGGCCGTTTCTCTATATGCATACTTGTCTGTACTTGTGTACTCGCGTCCTTGTGAAACGTCAGCAACGATGGCCCAAGGACGTTCAAATCCTAAGTATGCATAACAGCAAGTTCGCTCAAAGTTCCCGGATGTGTTCTCGCTTCGCACATTGTATCGCGGATGCATCAATGCACCCTTCTGCGGACTTGGGACAGCAAAGTTTCCCATAATGCATTGCGTTGCAAACCGTTAAACTACGAACATCAGAGAAGAAAGCGAATAACTGTAATGTTTTATATTAGAAAAATAAATAAAATGATTTTAAAATTGTCTGTTACTGTAAATAATCGTGTGTAAACTGTAAATTTTGCTGTGTGTGTTTGGGTTTTACTCCTGACAATCCTTCAAAATGCTAATTTGCTAACCCATTATCAAAATAAAAGCACCGTAAGTCTGTTCTGATGAAAAATAAACTTATTCTATTCATTAAAGAGTGGGAAATGCTTGTATTTTAATAGTAGTTTAAAAATTTTGATCAAAAGTGGGCCAAATATAATACAAATAATGTGTTTTTGTTGTTATTTTGTTATTTAAAAGGAACCCAGGTTACAAAACCTTGTGGTTCTTAAAAGATAAATGTTAGTATCAGTTATATTAAAATGGTATAAAAAACCTTCTTGATGTATTCAGTTTTTTAAAAAAATGTTAAAAATAGTTTAACTTGTAGGTCGCTATTGTTGTTAGCGTCGCACTGCACTCTGGGTATAGTGACGTCACATGGTTGTACCTTGGTTGCACCGGCCGGCTTTGGGACCCTGTAGTGACTGTTCAGCGAAATCAACGTGTCATCTGTTCAGCCTTTTCACTTTGAACCAGAGCAAAACTAATGAGGACATCACTGATGATGTTTCACAAAATGAGCATCAACATGAAGAGCAAGAAGGGCGGGATGAAGCGAGTGCAGGACAAAACCGGTGCTGCGTGTGCTGCAAATGTGTATCCATGGTAACAGAGAGGAAGAGTGTCTGTTTTTCTGCTGCTTTTGATCCATCCTGTTCTCTTAAAGCGTGGTTTATCTAGTAAACATCAGCATGATCTTCTAGCTTCTTGTCCTTTGTTTGGCGACTTCAGCGCCACTTCCGCATTCCCGCCAGGCCGCGTTGCGGTGCGGTTTCTCCATCCAAGTTTTTTAAGGTCGGTTTATCCTCATTCCTCAGTGGATTCTCCTCCTGTTCCCTCCATAAGTGGGTTTTATAAACACCGTGGATCTAACCATGCTAATTTACGTCCACTAACTCCAGCTGTTTCTGTAATTTCTGATTCCCCCACCTCACTCAGCATGGCTCTATTAAATACCCACTCTGTTAACAATAAGTCCTTCCTGCTCAATGATCTAATTATCTTTAAAAACCTGGATTTTCTGTTTCTGACTGAAGTTTGGCAGCAAACATCTGATTATTCTGGTCTGATTGAACTCTGCCCGAGTGGTTATTCTTTTCTTAGCCAGCCCCAGGGTTCTGGTCGTGGTGGAGGCCTAGCTGTTGTTTTCAGAGACCATCTTCCATGTAGCTCTACAACCTCTGGTCACTTTGCTTCCGTTGAACTGCAGCTGATTAAAGTCGGGCGTAAGGACCCGTTCTACTGTGCTGTGGTCTATCGTCCACCTGGTCCAAATACTTCTTTCCTTCGGGAGTTTAGTGACTTTCTATCCTCCACTGTGAAGCTGTCCAGACTGGTGATTGTTGGTGATTTTAACATCCACGTTGATGATCCCTCCGATCTCTTTGCCATGACTTTCTCCAGCCTTATGGACTCCTTCAGCTTTACCCAGCATGTTTCTGGCCCCGCACACACCTGGGGGCACACTCTAGAGTTTTTTTTTTTTACCCTGAGTCTAAATGCTGACAGTGTTTGTCCTGAGGATGTTTATATTTCAGATCACCATTGCATTTTCTTTAACTTGTCAGTTTCTGCGTCCCCACCTCCTGCTCGCTGTATGGTTAGTCCTCGTTTTCTTAATGAGAGCACAGCTAGCAATTTTTCTGCTGTTTTTGATCCACCCTGTTCTTCTGATAACGACCCAGATTCCTTAACTTCTCAGTTTAACGAGCACTGCCTCTCCATTCTGGACAACATCTGTCCTGTCAGAACCAGATCAGTTCCTGCAGTGAACCCTACTCCCTGGTTTAATGACAGCCTTCGCAGCCTGAAGTGCCAATGCAGAAAAATTGAGAGCTTGTGGAAGAAAACCCATCTCCACGTCCATCTGCTGCACCTAAAGGATCTTCTGACATCCTTTAACTCTGCAGTCAGAGACGCTAGGGTTTCCTTTTTCTCCAGCCTGGTGTCCCAGAGCAAAGGGATCCCCAAGGTGCTGTTTAACACCATCAGCAGCATCGTCTCTCCTGCCTCTCCTACAGCCTCCATCCACTCTATTGCAGACTGTGAGAACCTTCTGTCTTTCTTGGTGGACAAAGTCAATAAGATTAGATCTAGCATTTCTCCTTCAGCCTTATCGCTGCCTTTCCAGACTCCAACCAGGCCCATCATCCTAGATAGCTTTGCTCCTGTTTCTTTGCCTGAGTTAACCAAACTAGTTAACTCTATGAAGACCTCTGCATGCCCCCTCAACATCTTACCCTCATCTTTGTTTAAAAGTGCTTTTCAGTCCATTGGTCCCAGCGTGCTCTCTATAATTAATGCTTCTCTGGTTTCTGATCAGGTCCCTGCTTACTTTAAGAGCGCTGTAATCCATCCGCTTCTTAAAAAACCAAGTCTTGACGCCTCTCTCCATAGCAGCTTCAGACCCATCTCTAAACTTCCGTTCATCTCCAAGATCTTGGAAAATGTTGTGGCTAAACAACTCACAGCTGCTCTTGATGAACACAACATCTATGATAGCTTCCAGTCAGGTTTTCGTAGAGCTCATTCTACTGAAACAGCTCTTCTTAGGGTCTCTAATGACCTTATGACTCTCAGTGATGCAGGGGACTGTTCTGTTCTGGTCCTGCTGGACCTGACTGCAGCCTTTGACACTGTTAACCATCACCTGGAGAGGCTGAGAAACTGGGTAGGCATATCAGGATCTGCTCTGGAGTGGTTCTCCTCTTATTTCTCTGAGCGCTCCTTTTCTATGGCCGTCTCCAAGTTTAGGTCATCCACCACCTCCCTTACCCATGGTGTCCCACAAGGTTCTGTGCTGGGGCCTCTGCTCTTCCTTCTCTATCTGCTTCCTCTTCAGCACATCCTCAGCTCCTACAAAGGAATCTCCTACCATCTTTATGCAGATGACATCCAACTGTACATCTCCTTTAAGCCCCATGAGATGTCTAAGCTGCAGCTGTTACACTGCTGCTTAGACTCTATCAAAACCTGGATGGTGGGAGCTTTCTACAGCTGAATGAAGATCAGACTGAAATCCTCATCTGTGCCCCAGACAAGCTGGTTCCCAAAGTCAGAGACTCTCTTGGTCAGCTTGCTTCTCACACGAAAACCTCTGTCAGGAATCTTGGCGTGACCTTTGACCCAGCTCTCACCCTGGATTCTCATGTCAGTTCTCTTGTTCGCTCTTCCTTCTTCCATCTCAAAAACATTGCTAAGCTGAGTCCCATTCTGTCCCGCTCTGAACTTGAGACTGTACTCCACACCTTCATCTCCTCACGCTTAGACTACTGTAACTCTCTTTTCACGTGTCTGAGCAGAACCTCCCTGAACCGTCTACAGGTGGTTCAGAATGCCTGTGCTCAGCTTCTGACCAAGTCCTCCAAACACATCCACATCACCCTGCTTCTCCTCCAGCTTCACTGGCTGCCAGTTAACTTCAGGGTTCATTTCAAGATCCTGGTTCTGGTCTATAGGGCTTTACATGGACAAGCACCATCTTACATTGGTGATCTTCTCAGTCCCTACACCTCCAGCAGGTCTCTGATGTCCAGTGACCAAAGCCTACTGGTTGTGCAGCACCAGGCTAAAGACCAGAGGTGACAGATCATCTGCTGCTGTGGCCCCCAGAGTCCGGAACTCTCTCCCCCTGAGCCTGAGATCAGTGGACTCAGTGGTCTCCTTTAAAAAGCAGCTGAAGACTCACCTGTTCAAGCTGGCTTTTGTATGACCTTCTTCACCACTCTCTCTTTATTCTGCTCTCCCCACCTATTCCACCTTCCTCAGGATCCACTGATTTCCCTCTTTCCTATTCTCTCTCTCTTTCTTAATTTTTTTTAATCACAATTGTCTATTTTTTCATTTTAAATATATTTTTAAACATTTTCTGACTCTAGCTGCAGTCCACTCTTTGTGAATCTCCCCACATTGTTGAATGGGTTTGGTTTCACAATCCTCTCCAGGGTGTGGTTATCGCGACTACTTGCACACTTTTTTCAACCACATATTGTCCTTCCCTTCTCCTCTATTAATGCGCTTGGACACAGAGCTCTGAACAGCCAGCCTCTTTAGTAGTGACCTTTTGGGTCTTGCCCTCCTTGTTTAAGGTGTCAAAGGTCGTCTTTTGGACAACTGTCCAGTCAGCAGTCTTCCCCATGGCTGTGTGGTCTACAGAACTAGACTGAGAGACCATTTAAAGGCTTTTGCAGGTGTTTGAGTTAATTAGCTGATTAGTGTGGCACCAGGCATCTTAAGAATTTAACCTTTTCACAACATTCTAATATTCTGAGATACTAAATGTGGGATTTTCATTAATTGTCAGTTATAATCATCAGAATTAAAAAGATGAGCATTTGAAAGGTGTTTAGCTCATGTCCAGCAAAGATCTGAGAATGTTATGGGGGTTAGGAGGTTTATTTGTGAATAGAGACAAGTTAGAAATCTGAATCTTTAGTTCCTGGGGGGTTAGTTGTGTTTATCTACCTTTAGAAAGTCTGCACTGAAGCCAGCCTGGCAGAAGCCCTGACCTTCTGGTGAATTAGCATCTGGAAAGCAAAATTAAACCGCAGTTAGTCCAGACAAACAGAGTAACTAATAATACTGTCAGAACGAAAACAACAGATCCAGCTGTGCATCAGAGAACAGTTGCTATATGGTAGTCTGCATCAAAATGTTGTTTTTAACATTTGCACTGAAATAAAAGCTTCTTCCACAGAACTAGTCAGTGCCGTCTCCAACAGCAGAGTTAAGCTCCGGTCGCGAGTCAGCTCTAAACTACCCTGGCAGATAAAACGGACATAAAAACAATGTCTGTGTGTCTCACCACAGAAGCACAAGCTGGATGAGCATCTGAACAGCCTGCTAATGCAGCTAAAAGAGCTCTATAGAGCATGACATGTTATCTTCTTTCTCAGGAGAAGACTTGTCACCCAGAACTTGGGCTCAAACAGACCAACACTGAATCTGAATGTGTTATCGTGCAGAATCAATCAAGCCCACCAGCTCCCGTTAAAACAAAATAATAATAACAATAATAATAATAATAACAATAATAATAATAATAATAATAATAATAATAATAATAATAATAATAATAATAGCAGAAATGATTTAAATAAAACTTTCACAATAGTGATCCATTGTGGCAGCAGTTAGTTCTAGCTTTGCTTGTTTACAGTTAAATCTCATGTCTAACAGGAGACGGCATAAATGGCCTTTACAACACACTTTTTATTTTTAAATGAACTAATAAAACATTATTTTAGATTTGTTTTCTCCCATGATGGGCTTTACTTTTCACAGTTTAATGTAACAAAGTGCTTTGTGGTTAACAACAGAGGTGTCGTAAGAAAAACGGATTCACATCTGAAACAAGGTCCTTCTTCATAAAGATTCCTTAAAGCCAGGGCTGAATGACGGCTTACAGCCAGACAGGATACTACGTAGACACGGAGAAGAACCCACTCGTTCTGCAGGGGGAGTACTCCACCACTGTACTTCCTTTCTTCAGGTAACACGTTCCCACCGGCTCTCGTTCAGACATCCCGAAGGTGGACCACTGGTAAAGTGGAGCACAGGCCTGGAAAACAAACAGGAATGCAGTGGATGAGGCATTTCTGGCGATCAGAGTGCACAAAACCTGTTGTGCTTAATTAGAGTAAAATTAAACCTCCACAAACGAGTCAGAGAAGTCAGAAATACAGGTGCTGGCCAGTAAATTAGAATATCATCAAAAGGTTGAAAATATTTCAGTAATTCCATTCAAAACGTGAAACTTGTACATTATATTCATGCAATGCACACAGACCAATGTATTTCCAATGTTCATTACATTTAAATTTGATATTCATAAGTGACAACTAATGAAAACTCCAAATTTGGTATCTCAAAAAATTAGAATATTCTGAAAAGGCTGAATATAGAAGACACCTGCTGCCACTCTAATCAGCTGATTTACTCAAAACACCTGCAAAGGCCTTTAAAAGGTCCCTCAGTCTTGTTTTGAAGGCACCACAATCATGGGGAAGACTTCTGACTTAACAGCTGTCCAAAAGACAATCATTGACACCTTGCACAAGGAGGGCAAGACACAAAAGGTGATTGCTAAAGAAGCTGGCTGTTCGCAGAGCTCTGTGTCCAAGCACATTAACAGACAGGCAAAGGGACGGAAAAAATGTGGTAGAAAAAAGTGTACAAGCTCTAGGGATAACCGCACCCTGCAGAGAATTGTGACGACAAACCCATTCAAAAATGTGGGGGAGATCCACAAAGAGTGGACTGCAGCTGGAGTCAGCGCTTCAAGAACCACCATGAGGAGACTCATGAAAGACATGGGATTCAGGTGTCGCATTCCGTGTGTCAAGCCACTCTTGAACATGAAACAGCGCAAGAAGCGTCTCGCCTGGGCCAAGGACAAAAAGGACTGGACTGATGCTGAGTGGTCCAAAGTTATGTTTTCTGATGAAAGCAAGTTCTGCATTTCCTTTGGAAATCAAGGACCCAGAGTCTGGAGGAAGAGCGGAGAAGCACAGAATCCACGTTGCATGAGGTCCAGTGTAAAGTTTCCACCGTCAGTGATGGTGTGGGGTGCCATGTCATCTGCCAGTGTTGGCCCACTCTGTTTCCTGAGGTCCAGGGTCAATGCAGCCGTCTACCAGGAAGTTTTAGAGCACTTCATGCTTCCTGCTGCTGACCAACTTTATGGGGATGCAGACTTCACCTTTCAACAGGACTTGGCACCTGCACACAGTGCCAAAACCACCAGCACCTGGTTCAAGGACCATGGTATCCCTGTCCTTGATTGGCCAGCAAACTCGCCTGACCTTAACCCCATAGAAAATCTATGGGGTATTGTGAAGCGGAGGATGCAATACGCTAGACCCAACAATGCAGAGGAGCTGAAGACGACTATCAGAGCAACCTGGGCTCTCATAACACCTGAGCAGTGCCACAGACTGATCGAGTCCATGCCACGCCGCATTACTGCAGTTATTGAGGCAAAAGGAGCCCCGACTAAGTATTGAGTGCTATACATGCACATTCTTTTCATGTTCATTCTTTTCAGTTGGCCAACATTAGAGAAACAAACATTTTTTCATTGGCCTTTAGAATATTCTAATTTTCTGAGATACCAGATTTGATGTTTTCATTGGTTGTCACCTATAAATATCAAAATTAAACGTAATAAACATCGGAAATACATTGGTCTGTGTGCATTGCATGAATATAATGTACAAGTTTCACGTTTTGAATGGAATTACTGAAATATTTTCAACCTTTTGATGATATTCTAATTTACTGGCCAGCACCTGTACAATAATGCTATGAATATATGAAACATTCCTTTTACATCAGCACAATAATAAATCGTGACGTTTGCTCCTCATAGTTTACGATCATCACCAAGTAAACAAGGAGAAATGTGGTTTTTACCAAGATATTGTCTCCACTTGATCGAACAGAGGCACCAAACCACTGTTTGGACTTGAACTCCATCTGAACCCCACCATCGTTTTTACGGTTATCTGAGAAAAGACAGAAAAATTATTAATAAATAATTAGAATGAAACATTTAGTTCCAAATCCCTGAACTGCAACGAGACAAAAGTGCACGCCGTACAGAATCAGACAGACCAGCAACAGTTTGGTTAACTAGTCTGCTACTACATCCCACTGCTTGGACACACTCTCACTAATCAGTCAACATTTTTACTGATGAACTAGTTAATAAGCATCTAGCTAAAGAAGAGAGCCACTAGTTGGAAAAAGAGTTGCTAGTGCTTTTAGAATGCAGGAATATGTCAAACTAGTGCAAACAAATAGTGTCATATAGTCATGAACGAGGAGTTTTCCTCTCCACTGTCGCTAAAGAAAGAGAAGTTGTAAAAAAAACTCATCATTAAAGAACAACTGACAGCGACAATTTAGACATGGCATAATAATAAAACATATAATAGAGAATATTATCCATCCCTTTACTTATATATGTAACTTATCATTTACAACCGGCATATTTCCTACCAAAATGAAAATAGCTAAAGTCATTCCACTTCACAAAGGTGGAGATAAGCATATCTTCTCCAACTACCGACCTATATCCCTTCTGTCACAATTCTCAAAAATATTAGAAAAACTATTTACTACCAGATTGGACGCATTTCTGAACAAAGAGAATATCTTAAATGAGTCAGTATGGGTTTAGACCAAATCGCTCAACTTCAATGGCACTAATGGAATTAACAGAAGAAATATCGGAAGCCATTGACAAAAAAAAACCCAACATTTGATAAGTATGTTCATTGACCTACAAAAATGCATTTGCTACAGTAGATCATGACATTCTTCTAAAAAAACTTAGTAAATATGGCATAACAGGAACAGCCCTAAAATGGATGAGTTATTTACATGACAGGAAACAGTATGTTCAAATAAACAACATCAAATCAATCTGGATAATATTACTTGTGGAGTACTACAAGGGTCGGTACTAGGCCCTAAACTATTTATTATTTATATAAATGATATTGTCCATACATCTAATATGTTAAAGTGCATCTTATTTGCAGATGGCACAACTTTTTATTATTGAGGAGACAATATTGATCAAACGATAGAAGTGATACAGAGTTGGAAAAAAATCAAATTATGGTTCGATGGAAATAAGCTTTCATTGAACACAGATAAAACATATTTTATGACATTCAGTAATAGAAAGTTGAATATAAAAACATTAATAAAAGTAGACGAAATCTGTATTAAACGAGTAAAGGAAGTGAAATTTTTGGGAGTCGTCATTGATGAGGATTTATCTTGGAAACCGCATATAAACAATATCAAAACTAAAATAGCTAAATCAATCGCAATTAGTGTTGGGCATCGAGAATCAAGCATCGATTGGAACCGGTTCCAACTGTTCATTTTTCCCGGAACCGCTCAACGGTTTTTATTTCGATTCCTAGAATGCAGACGGAAGAGGAGTCCGTGGCCGATCTCCGTGAAAAATAAACGGGATCTGCAAATTGTGATCAACGCTTTTCACAGCTGATCAAACCAGCTGTCAGTGTGCAGCACCGAGCCCCCCTCCCCCACCCGGTGCGCAGAGGCCAAATCTAAACAAACATGTCTGCCAAACTTTTACTCCGTGATGTAAACTTTAATTCCTGCAGCGTAGACGAAACGTGTTAAATACGTCAACACGGTAGATTTAACAGACGCTTTAAAGAACAAACTCTGGACGGTGTGAGGTGAGTTTGTCTCACTGCAGAAATAAAAACACACACGGAGCGTCAGCAGTCAGACACGTGAGCGTCAGAAGGCTGAACAATAACCTGTAGAAATTAAAGTCATCATAGTAGAGAAGCTTCTCTGTGGAGGACCACACCAGCTTCTGCCACAATAAATAACTATAATAATAATAAATCAAACATAAAGTTGTGAACATTTTAATTTCCTTTCTGAACTATTTCTGTTGAGTTTTAATGTTTAAAATCTGTTAGATTGTTACTGACAGCAGCTACGTTTAAGTTTTACTTCCTGTTCTGACTGAATGCTGCTGCAGCATGGAGGTGTAGTTCTCAGTCATCCTGGACATGATCATCCTGAGAGTTTTAGCAGAAAACAGCTGGACGTTTCTGGATATGTTGGAGACATTTAGCCTCTCATCCCAGAGGCTGCTTCCACACTTTGGTTGTGGTCAGAAACAAACACACTGGTTGTGCTGCAAGTCTTTTTCTTTTTTCTCCCAAACATGTTTTTGTCTAAATGAAGGTGATGTTATTGTTCATAGAATGAAAATTCATGTTGAAGTTAAGATTATTTCATCAAGTAGGATCTGTGGTTAGCTGGCTCATGTAAAACATGTCTTGTCTTCAAAGAATCGGAATCGGGAATCGATAGGAACCGGAATCGAAACGAGGAATTGGAATCGGAATCGTTCAAAATCAAACGATGCCCAACCCTAAGCAATATTACATAGAGTGAACTGGTCATTAGATGACAAATCCCTATATTTATTATACAGTTCATTGATCGTACCGTACCTGAACTACTGTGTTGAAATGTGGGGAATAACATAAAACCTATACACATTCAGTTTTTGTCCGACAAAAAAAGCAATAAGAATTATAACAAGAAGCATTTACAGAGATCCATCCAGCCAATTATTCATCAAATTAAAAACATTAAAATGTTACGACCTAGTAGATTATACTATTTTGAAATTTATGAATAAAATCGACAAAAAGCACTTTCCAACAAATTTGATCCTAAGATTTATGGAAAGAAAGAGTAGTTATGATTTGAAAGGCAACAAAATATACACGATACCAAAACATAGGATCAATATAAAGGAACGTTGTGTATCAATATATGGAGTCAAAATGTGGAATAAATTAAGTACCGAAATCAAGAACACCAAAACAATATATATCTTTAATAAACATGTCAAAAATGAAATGCTTAGCTTATATGATGCTATGAGGTAGACGTATTTATGAAGAAGAGAATGAAAGGGAAAACACACACTGTATGTTCTACTTTGTTTCTTTAGCTATTATTTTTTTGTGTGTTTTATTTTGCATTATTTGTTTCCTCCTTTCATTAATATAAGAAGAAAAAAAATTGTGTACATGTTGTTTTCTCTCCATTTTTTGCCAATAAACCAGGTCAAACTGTTTTTTTTAACTATAATAACTTTGTTGTCATTTGTATTTATTTTGGTTAAAGGGAACAGATAACATTAGTTTAGCTTCTTTCTGTTCCTTTTTCATTTTTGTTTTCGCAAACCTGTTTTGTGTTTTGCTTTTAATTGTGAATAAATAAAAATAAACTAAAAATAAATGCTTGCTTATTATGAGGATTGCTGTAAAGACACTGACACTAGTTAGTGACTCGATGCAACCTGCTGGTTTCCTTACATAGAAAACTTTTGACTGATTGGCTTAATGAACTGACCTGTATTGGAATGTTTACTGTGTGAAGGTCCTTGAGACGACTCTGGTCGTGATTTGGTGTCATATAAATAAACTCAAATGAATTGAAAACATATTGGTAACATAAACAGATTGCTTTAGAGTAGGGCTGGGCGATATGGCCAAAAAATAAAATCTCAGATTGTTCAAAAAAATTTTCAATTTACAATTTTTTTTCTGATTCTCTCTCCCGTTCTATTATTAGGAATAGCAATAAATACAAATGGAAGACACCTTAAAGCCAATTTTGTTTTTTATTTAATCACAAGCAAGACAAAAGTAACCCTCATTTTTGAGATGGATAATGAATACAGTACATGAACACCCTCTTGGAATAAAAGAGCCACGCTCCACGTCCGTCGCAGCAAACCCAAACCTGTTCCAAACAACGGAGGATTTCATTCCTTTCTTAGAAACAAACTTCCCGCTCTCACCGGTGGCCACGGAGTCATTTGCTGTTGCTGTTTCGTGTGTGCGCTGTGACAATGTTGTCGCGGTTACGTGAAACCAACGCTACGGAAGCTCCGGGGGGGCAAAAAGGCGCCATTACATAAAAATTCGATTTACTCTTTTTAAATCGCCCGCAACTAAAAATTCAAATTAATTCATGAAATCGATTTATCGCCCAGGCCTACTTTAGAGCTTGACAGTGTAGCCTCCGGAAATGGTCTGTTTTTCAATCTACAGGTCGGATCTTCAGTATCGGTCATTTGGAGACATACGTCTCCAACTGGAGCTTTAATCTACAGAAGACACTGTTGCTTCAAGGTCATTGCAGGCTCACTCTTATCTAAGACTGGTTTTTATTCACAGCACAAGACAGAAGAACTTCTACAACTTATAGGTTAATTAATCATTAAAGAATAATTTGGTTGATGAACAAATTTTATGTGAACACTAAATGAAATGTTTTGATTAATCTGTGAAAAGAAGTATTATATTGATTTATATATGGATCAGTAATGTTTGATATGACAAGGCCATCATCATCTACACTCACAAGGTTCATCAAGGACAAATTAAAGTTAAGTCAAACACGTGACACATAGATATTTTCTTACCCACAAATCAGAACCACTGGATCTGAAAGAAGGCGTGTTTCTGAGATTATTGGTAATATCCCTTAACATGGCACGCTCTGATTTGTTAAGAAATTAATATGAGAATAGAAAAACATAATCACTCTGGTGATTCAGCAGTCTGAGTTGGTGTTCCAGTTCTACAAAGTTCTAGAGGAAGCTACGGAAACGGCCGTCCGTAGTGAAGTCTCTTTAACCCAGAAGCAACCTTTGACACGCCATCAAGGTTGTTGCAAAGCTGACACAGCAAACGGTTCCTGCAGAACAAAGCTGACACTGTTCCGACTCCTTAAGAGTCCATCAGACGCAAACGGTTCCATCCATCTGTGTGCCTGGCGACATCTCTGGACTGGAGAAGTCGGCGCTGTGGTAAATCTACTGGACCTGGGTGCCCAGAGGTCATACAACCTTGATGACCTCCAGATGTGCGAAGAGGATCTCCGAGAAGGGTGAGGTAGAACACAGTGTGATTGTGTC